TGACAGACCCATTAAGTGTCTTAATCTGAGCCGTCACTTGGGTGCACGTATCTTCTAAGTCATTCAAGCACACATTTGACATTTGCATATTATATTTCAAAATAAAAACACATGGAAAGAAGTAATTATAGGGATTAAAATTTAATCCAATTCCCCCTAATGTTTAATTTCCCTCAGGAACAGAAAGGTCTTTCTTCATACGATGAAAAAGCAGTTTAAGAAAAAAACAATAAAAATCATTTAAAATATAGAAACATTTAAAAGATTTAAAAATGAAGAAAAAGTGTGAAAATGGAAAACTTCTAATAAACTTCAAACAAATCCTGAAAGGATGGAAAAATATCTTTTTTTATGTTCTTGGAAATTTAAAACTTTTAATTGTTAAAAAAAGCTAAATATGAAAGTATGCTGAGTTTACTCAAAGTTATCATGAGGAAAATTATTTAACTAGACAAACTTTTAAAATAAAGAGTTACAAGCATACTGCGTTGGAGTTATATTTTATTTGGCCAGCTTGAAAAATGTCTATAGCTAGTATAATTATCATAAATTTAAACTTTAAAAAATGAAAGCTTAGTAACAGGAACACAAAATTAAATCCGTACAAAAGAAGTTTGGGAGATAAACTTCGGTAAGATTACATTCATAATTAAACTCAACTTTGGCATTTTTTCAGCACATATTCCTATTCTCAGACAACCAATCTAAAGTAAGCCCTTGTGTTTTGTTCAGCAAATCTGTGGCAAAAAGAGTCGAGGCAGCCTGGCCCAGAACCTTTGTAGTTCACGCTGAGTACGCACCGCTGACAGGGCTTGCCATTTCAGCAGCGCCCGTGGTTTCTGCTGCCAGCCCATCCCTCTCCCTCCACCCTGAAGAGCCCACTTCGCAGGCTGCACCTTCTGCAGACCGCTCAGCCCCGCAGTGCTGTCACACGGTTCCCTTTTCAAGTCTTTACCTAAAACCTGAACTGCCAATGTTTGTTTTCTCCCTTGAGGGCACGGGTGCACCTCCAGAGAAGTCTTTTGCAATCATACAGCCAGTCCTCCACTATTGTTAAAGAGCCACGCTGTACCTTGACTCGGACTCCTTCTTCTAAAACAATGTAGCCCCGGGAGGGGGTCAGATCCTTGGACTCCTCTGAGGAGTTCACTCCTGTCACCTTGAACTGCACAGTCACAGTCCCGAACAGCCCTTGTGTGGGCTCCCGGACCACATAGAGCTCTGCGACGCTCTCTTGCACGTAGACAGCCGCTGGCTCCCGCAGGAAAAAGTGCTCGCTGTTGTTGAAGGACAGGACTCCAGGGCCATCGTCGTTGGCCAGGATGGTGATGGCGGCTGTGGGGGTGGGCAAAGGAGCAGAACAGAGCGTGGTTAGGCGCCGGGAGGAGCGGGGCAGTTTCCCCATAAATGAGGCCACTTCTCTATGACCATTACTTTAAGAAAATCTTTCTCTTGAAAAAGAAGAGCATAGTTTAAAGCTCTTAATAAAGTTCCATATTCTCTTGTGGTAAAAAAAAATTAGTCAGTACTCTTGGAAGAGAAGGCAGGTTTGTCAAGCTAGTGGCATGACATCGCTCAGGAGTCATGTCACAGTGCTGACAGAGCGCGAACCCGACCATTAGAACAGAAACAAGATGGCAGGGAGTCGCTCGTCCCTGCTGCAGGCGGCAGAGTCCAGGGCGTCGCGCAGACACAGATGCAGAGGTGGGAAAGGAAGCGCCTCGCTGCCACTACTTTCTAAACTTGTCTACTAAGAAAATGCACAAGAAAAAAATTTTAGAACTATTATCAGAGTCACAAACACTGGCTTAGAAATTTCTAAAAGTCAAGGACTTTTTTTTTTAAAAAACCATTAATAAAAACATTAGTAACTGGAACAACTGATACTACCAACAACTTACTAACATTTGCCTCTAGAATTTGCGCAGTAACTCCACAAGGTAGAGTGTGTTATTATTCCCAGTTGACAGAACCTACAACTGGAGCACAGTCTTCCGAAGTTCAAAACCTAGGGAGCAGCAGAACCGCGTGCAAGGCCGGGACATGTGCGTGGCGGCACACACGGCTGCAGACTGCCCCATGCAGCTCTGCACGGGCTAAGGCTAAGAAGAGAGACGGGGGCCTCGCCTCACCTGGATGTTAACCTGAAAACCCTACGGCCCACATGAAGACAATCACAGCACTGCAGTGTGCTTCTGTGGCAGGTGCTGCTGCACATTACAGTGTCTCTGTCCCTTGTCCCACCCCTGGGCACACGTAGCAGTTTCTGGGTGCCCAGTGCTCTCTGCACCTGAGGACAGCGCTGGCCCATGAGAGTGAGACTAGCACTGAGAGGGGACAATGAGAGATTAAGAAGAAACAAAACACATAAAAGGGAAACTGGGACCAGGTGGGGTCCTCTCTGATGGAGAGGCAGCCACCACCCAGCGTGGTCTGCGTCTTTAGTTACACACAGTAAAGGGGGAGAAACACACAGGGGAGCCGAAAGTGCAAGGGCTCAGTGTCTGCTGAGAACACGGAAAATGGAACCGCCTCCGAGCTCTCTGCGCTATGGTTCACAGGGAGGAGCACCCAGGCCACAGCCCCGTGTACCGGCCTTGCTCCTGCCCTGACTACTCGTTTCTGTGGTTCCCCTCTGGGGCTTTGTGCCTTGGGGGCTGACCTTGCTCACCCCCAGCGTGTGGTCCATGTCCAGCCCAGCTGCTTCCCACAATACCCACCTAGTGTTGACTTTCAGCACAAGTACACAAGTACACGTACACATACACACACACACTCACACACACAGAGGATAAAGCACCATTTCACCAACACAGGGATCTGAAATGCTTAACTTAAAATACCTCTTATTCTGAGGATGGAAACCTCTTGTCCCCATAGTAGGGAAACCAGCATAATGTAGAAGGGCTGTGGACAAGGAATCGTCAGTTACCTATTGTGTTTGCACCCAGCTCCAGTCCCGGAGAAGGATTTGTTAAGATGAGCTGAAATTTTTCATCTCCTTCTGGAATATCATCATCCAGGATGACAATGTCTATATTTTTTTGCCTTTCTTCAGCAGCAAAGTGAAGAATCTGGTCAAAAGGTAAAAGGAAACAGTTTGATATTTAAATACACTCTGAGCCTTTATAAAATGTTTGGAAAGAAATGCAATATAATAGTAAATGGAAATAGGCTACTTTACACAAATTCTTTTATTTTTTGCATATCTTTTTAATTCAGTGGACAATATTTTATTTTAAAAATTAAAGGTTAAGCCAGGTGTGGTGGTACATGACTGTAATCCCAGCACTCAGGAGGCTGAGGCAGGAGGATTGCTGCAAGTCTGAAGCCAGCCTGGGCTATATAGTGAGCTCAAGGCCAGCATGAACTGCAGAAAGAGATCCTGTCTCAAATAAATAAATAAATAAATAAATAAATACTTAAAAGAATAAAAATTAAAAGTTATGGAGGAAAGAGAAAGAGTAAAGATCCAGTTAAAAAATAAAAGTTAGGAGTTTGGGGAGATAGCTCAGTAGTCTAAGCGCCTGCCTGGCAAGTGCAAAGACTTGGGTTTGATCCCTGGTACCACATTCCATGACAGCCCCAGAACCCCAGGCACACCAACCCTGGGCACATCATGCTGGCCACCACAGCTGGGCATGGTGGCACATGCCTGTAATCCCAGTGCTGGGAAGGCTGAGACAAGTGGATCCCTACAAGTCTGAGCTGCATAGACCATGTATCAAATAAATAAATGAGTAAATAAGATTTAATAAATAAAATAAAAGTCAGGAAAAGACAAAGTTAAAAGTACTTAAAAACAGCAATGGTTAATACTTTAAAAGAAAACCAAATTAAAATTTTCAAGAAGTATAATAAAAATTTTGAGGTCATTTCATGTAAAAATTCTTTAACATAAAATTCTCTGTTCTTGAGTACTGTGATAAAATAGTTCAAGAAGAGATAATAATTTTAGAATAGTACTAAAAATGCAAATTACATGATTTGCTAAAATAGTGAAATAAATGATTCCACTCTATGGAAATATTTTTTCTTAACTTACTGTGGAATAGCTTACATAAGAATTTGTTAAGATTAATTTGTTTATGCAAGCTCTAAGTCATCACAATTTGCAAGGAATGAGGATGACAAAGTAACTTATAAAAGGCCCCCACAGTCACCACTGAGCCTACCGTGGGCGTGAAGACGTAGTCCAGCCCGAGCTGGGCCTCCACATTCTGAGCATACACGAACAAGGAGACCTGGCCCGGGGCTCCTGGGCTTCTCTGCACTGCCAGGGTCACACTTCCGTGGGCCTCACTGGCTTCAAGCCTGAAACAGAGTGGAGAGAGTCCATCCCTCCTCTCTTACAGACCTCGCCACGGTAGGCAGCGAGCGGGCTCCGCGAAGGGCCAAGGTACAGCCTGAGACCTACCTGCTACGCTGCCACTCGACCATGCCGTGGGCACCATCGTTGGCGTCAATGACGATTTGTGCAGTCAAGCCTTCTGAATCTGAAAGAACACAGGCACATACTTTAAAATGAATATAAATTTATTAACATAAAGCTTAAACTTCCCTTGAAAAGCAGTTTGACATAGAATCTAGACAGTTCCTTTGAGTTTATATCATTCCTAAAATACAGCTGTCCTTGACACAATTCAAAAGATGCCCCAGAAAGTAAAGGCACTAATGCTTGGTGTCTGAAAAAGGACACTCTTGCTTGGAAGAGCCACTGAGTCATAAAAATGAAAGCCACTGAGAGCAGCATGAAATAATAAGCAATGGAGCACGTGGCTTTATTTTTGATTTGATTTTTAAAAAGTCCACACCTCAGGAGCACGGGAAACGGGCACCATTCGAGGAGAAGGGCAGGGAAAGTGGAAAGAGAAGGGGGTGGCATGGAAAGAAGAGGTGTGAAGAGAGACCCCAGAGGGACAGGGTGCCAACTGGACAACTAGAGGAGGGCCAGGGGAGGCAGGACAGGGCGAGCCCAGGGACACGAACCCCTCTCAACCTTTTCATCCTGTACTCTGTGAATGGGGCATGCGTTTATCAATGTAGTACCACTACTTCTCTTGACACATTAACTCATCTTGTTACTAGTGCTTATTAATTTTTTTAAAAAAAACTTTTTGTCCTCTGTCTTAGTTAAGGATATGCCTGACTCTGCCAAAGTGGGGACGAGAGGAGGAAGAGTGTGACTCTGTCCAGACCGTAGGGCGATCCTTTCAGGCCTTTCCGGGATGACAAACCTTGTGCGGTTTGGCACCACTGAAGGCAGCAGCGGTGCCTGCTGACAGCATGCAATCAGGACGGGCACCCACGGAGCAAAAGGCTAAGAAGCAGCGACCCCAACACACAGCACGCTGGGAGCGCCTGGCCCGACCGCTTCCTAGGGGGGTGGCCTGGGCCCGAGGGGTCAGCGCCTCGGCCTCTGCTCCCTCAGCTCTGGAATGGGAAGATGCAAAGGCACCCGTCCAGCAGCAGCGCCACGGACCAGCCACTGCAGCTGCGCTCCACAGGCGCACAGCGGGCAGGAGCTCTTCAGCAGCTCCTTCGGGTAAGAGCGATCACTCGCAGTGATCCCTGATGCTGCACCCCATCGACTGGAGCCATCTAGTCTCTTTTACTAGAGAGAACTGAACTGTCAAGGAACTGGAGCCTGTCAAATACGACTACATAATTATCTCTTTCCAGGGTTGCTCTCCAGGCCACTGCCTTGGTCCAGCTTCTCTGACCCACGTTGATCTCCAGGGTCCAGCACATCTTCTATGCATGGGATGGGGTCAGGGGCCAGGCTACCCTCAGCGCTACTCACCACCGCCCCCTACTGGGCAATTGCACCTCCAGACAATGCAAACTGTGAGCGAGTTTGTGTCCAAAGGACACAATGCTTTTATAGGAATCCACTTAGTAAATTTGTACCAAGGTTCAAGTTTTACCTTTCAGCCTGTAATGAATTAACTGAGTCTTTTCTAAAAGCATGAAAAGAAAAAGATCAGAGGTCAGAAAAGACGAAGGAAACACAGCAAACAAACAAAAGATCTACTTAACTTCAAAGAATATAAGAACATCTCAGAGTTTGGAGCTTTAATAAAATGAATAATTTAATTTTAAAATAAAGTGAAAGGAAAATGTCTTCCACAGCACTAATACTATTTTGAAGATTAAATGTATTATTATAAAATAGTTGTAAAGATTATGGCACAATAATATATAATCTTTAGTGTTAAAATGTTGACTATAAAAATTGTTGACTATAATAATACTTTGTTAATTAAAATAAATATAAAAATCCATTATATTTTCACACATAATTGAGAATCACAGATATCAAAATGATCACTTCCTTTGTATCGGGGATCACTTCCTTGGTATCGGGGATCAAACTCAGGACCCTGCGCTTGCCAGGCAGGTGCTTATGCTACTGAGCTATGTCCCCAGCCCTAAAGTGATCACTTCTGATTAAAAAATGAAGTCATATCATCTAAAGTGAATAAAAGAAACAGACAAATGAGAAGCTCATCATACCCAGCCTGGGGGGAAACGAAGTCACAGGCGCCAGGAGGAGTTCGACAGAAGTCAAGTTCACCAGGAAGTATTCTTTCAGCTCTGGTACAGCATCCTGAAAAGTTACCCCATTACATCCCTATAAGTAGGTTCTCAAAAGGAACTGACTCTTACAAGCTTTTCAAAAATATTTTCTTACACACATTTGCACAAGCAGTCTATAGCTAATATAACATTTTAAGCAAATATAAATTATTTAGATTAGAGGAACAAAAGCACTAAACATATACTTATTTATAAGCAGTTATAATGAGCAACATGAAACCACTTAAATGCAACAGTTTTAACCTAGAACATATGATAAACCAATTTTGCAAATATGCAAACATTATTATTTTAAATATAACATGAACAAAAGGTGTTCACTGTCTATGATAGCTGATATTTAACATGAAGAATAACATTGTGCCATGAAAAAATTCTGGGGTTTGCAGTCAAGACCTAGAACTAAATTTGACAATTTTATTAATTACCACATTTATTCAAATACTAGAGCCTTTATTCTATCATTGCTATATTAGAGAAAATAATAGCTACTCTGGAGTATTAATAATGAAAATAATAATAATGAAAACTAATGTATGTACAGTCTGTAGCTTAAAGAGAATGTCTTTAAAATGATGGCTATTAATTATTGAAAGCTATTAATTATTATTAATCCACATAATAGTGGATTAATGAAATCAGACAGATGCCCCAAACATATGGATTAACAAAATTCCTGACAGGAGTGAACAGCCAATATTCACACAGAAATTTAACTTTTGTGTATGAGTGTGAGTGTGTGTGTGTGCGTGCATGTGTGTATGTAAAAGACCAGTATATACACACATATACACCCCAATGTATACTTTTCATTTCATTTAATGGAGTTTTTTTTTCAAGTAAAAACACAAGAAAGTGAAGTTTTATTCTTAGGTTATCTTATATGACATATGGAAAAGCATACGTTAGAGAACCAATGGCCTAAGAGACCTGTTCCCCACCCTCTCCATGGCCCCAGCCCAGACTACAACTCCCTGCCTGTCACCTCTTATGGTTTAGACTGAGCACGGCCCCCAGTGACTTCTAGAAGGTGATGAGACTGCAGCAGTGACAGAGTGACAAAGGTGGGGTCCAGGTAAAGGTGCTGGCGTGACCTGGAAGCAGCGGTGTGACCTGGACGAGCACAATCCCCGCACCCCTGCCTCTTCCCTCCCTCCTACGGTTCCTCCAGCCACCACGTGAACAACTTTCCCCTGGCAGGCCCCTCTGCCATGCTGTCCTGCCCTGTAGCCGGCAACTCACGGCTGGAACCATGAACCAAAATAAACTTCTCCTTTAGGTTTTAGGGATCAGGTATTACATCTCAGGGACAAGGAAACTGATTAAACTGCTCCTGGGGTGGCGTGCTTGTCTATGTCAGGCTTACAGTCTTTGGATCTAGGGCTACTCAAGGAGCAGAAAAAGTTGCAAAGAGCTAGGAGAAAGAAAAATGGAACTCAAATCCCAGGTTCAAAACACTAGACTGCAGGTAAAAGCTAGGTGCTCTATATTTTCTGGTTAAAAATAAACATGACTAAGGAATAAGCTATTTAATTGTATGCAGTTATATTAACAGATGAGACATTTGAAAGATGACTTTCCTACAGTTGTTTTCAAACCCTGCATGACCTGCCATCTAACTGGTACCCTGTCACTGTTAAGTTTGTGGATTTAATCAAATGTGACATTTAACCAATGTCACACTAGGTTATAGTGCCAAAGAAATCAGCAAATTGAGAGTTGCCAACTATAAATAGTACATTTATACTGCTTATAGTTAAATAAATGTAAAAAGCCTTTGAGAGAATAAGACCTTTTTGAAATGAAGCCGCCAAAATATATACCATGGTAACGAAAAATTGTTTTCAAATGTACTATTCATTTTCTCTTCCTCTCTACATTCTATCTACTACCCTTTCCATAGTACTATTTTTATAAATCTCCTATAAATGTATTTAGGTAGCTGAAACACCGAGCCCAAAACAGCACAAGATTTCACAGCATGAGAAATCACTTCAAATGCACCTCGCTCCCCAGTGATGTATTAAGGCTTGACTGTAATCACACGGCTGCCCTCGGCCCCTAGCAAGTGTCCCGCCATCTCTGGTTCTGCAGGTCCTGCACACGAAGATCCTGACCTTCACAGCTGTGCCAGTCCAGCGATCTGCTTGGAGTTATTAAAGGACTCCTCGGAAACCTCTTAGGCCAGGGCCATCACAGGAGAAAACACACTAAGGTAATTCTGTTTACTGCCAGGTGTCTCTGTAATCAAATATATACCAGCAGCCCAGCCCATCTAATCAAGAATAGAAACTCCTGCATGGTTTGAAAACAAAATCATGCAAAGAAATAAGCTGATTTCAGAACACCAGCAGAATGGAACCAACAAGACTTGCGAAGGAACCAATCAGAAATGAATTCACTAAACTTCAAGAGATTATAGTTATAAAATATGCAAAGTTTATATTAAAGGAAAAATTATACACAAATATGTACATATGTATCACACACACACACACACACACACACACACACACACAATTTTTTGCAGTGCTGAGGATGGATCAGACCCAAGGTCTCACCCATTTAAAGGACTGCACAACTACTGACCCACAGCCATACACAAGTTGTATTATTTTACTGCAGAAGAAACTAAAAGTTATTACATATTCTTGGTCCTCATAATATTTTATACCTTAAGATGAGAAGTTATGAGAAGTGATTAATTAAACATGACTGCTGATGTTGTAGAATATTCCATCAATTCCTCCTTCCTATGTGGTGACTTCAGGTTTAATGTACTACTAGGGAAACGGAACCAGACTACTTACCTCAAGTATAGTGACGTTGATGGCAGCTGACGTTTGCCCTTCTTCTAAAATCAGAAAGCCAACTACTGGGATGAAATCAACTTCCGGCTCTGCGAGGTCTCCTTCCGTTTGATTATTCAGACTCAATGTTCCAGGCACCGTAGCATATGTGACATTGATAGTCCCTAATTGAATTGGATACAAGATTTTAGAATTAAATTTTTAAAATGATGTCTCCTGTGAACCCTGCCTTTCTCTTAGTGCCAACAGGACCTGTCACCATTGATCCGAGTTCCTCCCCCTTCCTGGAGCCATGACCCTCAGACAGTGATGTCCCACAGTCTACTCGGCCTACTTCCTGCCTCTGGACATTGAGTGAGGATGGCTGTGTGGCTTGTTGTGGCCAGCAGCCCAAAGTGGGAGTCAGGATGTGTGACTTCCACGCCTAGACTCCCCGGGCCTTGCGTGTTGTCGCCTGCTTCCTCTGCCTCCACTCCAGAGGAAATCAAAAGCAGGGAGAAGAGCCAGTCTGGCCAGCCCTGCCTAACTGATGGCCCCACGGCTGGTCGCCTACCTCATGCTGCTGAGAATTCATGATTGCCCATTACATAGGATTTCTGTGAAAGTAAGTGACTCTGTTACTGTTTTCAAAACCGAAGATGTTATGAAGTATCATCCTGATTTAGTGAATTGTCTTTCCTTTCTTTGCTTATTTTCATAATGACTTCATCCACACAAGTAGGAGATTAGAAATCCCTCGCCTAGAAATCCCATTTGCTCTAGAGTAACACAGACCTAGAGATCCAAATTCCCGATTGATGAAAAGCTGAACCGTCACGTTAGCCTCTTGTAGTAAAACAAATCTTGATGAAAGAGCGAAGTTTAAAACTCCATGCGGCTCATCACTGGCTTCGACCGTCAAGACAGCGGCATATCCTTGAGTGTCGAGCAAAGCCACTCCCGCTGGTGGAACCCCTAGAAATATCGGGGAATCCTGTCGGGAAATCTGAGCATGCTTTAGCATTAACTTCTAGATACCTAAAATAGAACCCTGCTCTCTAAAGTGTATTAAAGTAACTGAAAAGGGTTCTACTTTGCCCGCATCCCTACGAAGCGTCTTTAGGCACACGAATAGAATCCATATTCCATTCTTCTTAAAGATGGAAAAAAATCATATTTTTTTCACTTGATATATTGTAGCCCTTAATGACTTCACTGCTTAGCAGAATTACAAAAATTGAATAGAAACTAAAAAAGGTGCCTAGATACTTTGCTCAAAAATGACTAGATTTGAGTTGCCCATAAACTGTATTATAAATGTCCAAAATCCAAATTGATCTGTTAGCATTTCGGTCAGAAATTTCTACCTTTGGAAGTATATTTTAATTCCATAAAGAACTGACACCATTTTTAGCACTTTTTGCTCAGTCCATAAGATAAGCATTCTCTTATTCTGCCAGTGTTTTCTGGATCTAACATTTCTATGGGACATACATCTAAAGTAGTAGTTTTTAAATTGGTAAATACCAAGAGGGCAACTACTGTTTGTTTTTCTCCTAAAAACTATACCAAACAAAACTGGAAGTTGAGTTCTGAACTACCTTGCGTCCTGACATCATACAGAATGACCTGGTACACTTCTTTCTCCTCTGGAATGTTGTCATCCAACAGATGCACGGATATTGTTCTATTCAACGTCCCCTATGTCAAACAGAAAGAAATCAATGCCTGCGTTGTTCTTAAACACAGATTACCTCTTGCTTTTTATTGGTCTTATAAATAGTGCATCCAAACATGTCTTCATTTAAACAAGAATTCTGTGAATTAAGTAAGACCCACTGGCTCCTGTGAAAACAGATTTAACGAAGACAGGAGCTAATTGCGAAAGTTTTAAAAAATGAGCTAGTCAGTGAAAACCTTATCCAAATTAATACCCAAATTAAGTGAGTGTGAAAAAGAGAATGATTTTTTTGTTTGTTTGTTTTTAATGTATTTGGTTCAGGGTCTCACTACGCAGCTCAGACTCGTCGTGATCCTCCTGCTTTCAGCCTCCCCAGTGCTGGGATCACAAGCGTGTGCCACCACACCCGGACTCACTGGCCAGCTCAGTGTGCCCAGGGGGTGGGGCCAGCACAGCGTGTGACACTGGAGATCAAACCCCAGTCCCTGCGCTTGCCTAAGCAGGTGCCTAGTCCGCTGAGCTGTCTTGCTGGCCCTTTTTGGTCTTTTTGTGACAGAGTCTTGCTCTATAGGTCAGGCTGGCTTTGAACTCACTTTGTAGCCCAGGCTGGTTTCAAATTTGCAGCAATCTTTCTGCCTCAGCCTCCTGAGTGCTGGAATTATAAGCATGTTCCACCAAGCCCAACTGAGAATGAAGATTTCTACAATACAAACGATGTTACTTTTCTATTCTATTTTCCTCAAAATATAATGTTTTGGGATTTTTCTAGAAATATGTTCAACAGCTTTTCTTTATGGTATTACCTCATGAAAGAAGAGTTGTCCAGTGAGGTTAGCAAAATTGAGTTCTAGATTCTGCCCAATAATTTTCCAGTCAACAGTAACATTTCCTCGACCAGGAGGCGTTCTTACCACATAGAATTGCAAAATTTCTCCTAAAAGCAAAATGTATAGATAGATAAATGTTAGCTGAAAATGAACTTAACATTTGAACTCAACAAAACCCAAATCCTAAGCATGCAACTACTGTATTATGGCACCGCTTCCAAGAACAAAGCTGTTGATTTGAATTTTCTAGAAGCACTGTACATGCTTATTATTTATTAATGTAAGGACCTCATTTTTAAGTACTTCCCCATTTAAGAGAACTTCTGGCAATTCAGGGTGTAAAAGCTATAAAAGCACATGCTACAATGGGAAACACAAACATCTATACACTCCAAAGCATGCAACAGAACGGAAGTGTTCTGAAAGTTAAAGAAAACAGTGAAGTCCTCAGGGCTGGAACCGGTCAGAGCACAAGTGAATTCTCCTTTCATTTCTCAAAAGGACACAAATTCCTTACACTGGTACGCAATGTGATTTTACACAATGCATGCATAAAAATGCTTGCAAATACCTGAAAATCACATTTCTTTAGATTACAACTTACATATAGCATCAATGATTTTGATTTATAAAAAGAAATACAAAGGAAAGGCGTCAAATCTACATATCAGTGTCTGTAACCTCACCCAAGTTACAGTTATCCTTCCCAGATTACTGAGTATTTTAGACATTTTCTATTCCTGGCTTTTATCCTCATACTGTATTTTATAAAACTAAGCAAATCATGAAAGGTATTTCTTTCAAAATGACAAAAGTGAGAAGGCAGCTGCTAGGACGTATGAAGCGGTCTTTGTGGCTTGCTACAAGGATGCTCTATTCATTAGCTTTATCTGATGATAAGTATAAACTAAGCTGTATTAATGAATAGTATAACTAAAATTCTTATATAAACCTAACAATAATTAAAAGACTTTGGAAGAAACACATCCCTACATTGTGAGGACAGCACAGAGTTGATATCCATGAATACTTGGGCCAGCCAGATAGCTCAGCAGACTAAAGCGCCTGCTGGAGCAGAGTGCAGTGGCCGGGGTTCAATCCCCTGCACGCCATGCTGGCCTCACCCCCAGGGCCAACTGAGACACAACTGAGACTGGGCGTGGTGGCGCATGCCTGCAATCCCAGCTCTTGGGAGGCTGAAAGTAGGAGGATCACTACGAGTCCAATCCGTGTAGTGAGACCCTGTAGACCCTGGACTAAATACATTAAAAAAAAAAAAAGAAATCCATGCCTATTGACTAAAAATGTCACTTTTACTCAGTTACCAGTTAGTGTTTATGCATATAAGTAAAATCTTTCAGTACATTTTAAATAAAGGAATGAGAGTTAAGACAAAATATAAATCTTTTTCTTATAATTTTTCAAACTACTATAGTTGTTTTTCTCAAGATAATAAGCCTAGAAACATTTACAATATAAATTTATCAAAATATATGGATGAATTGGAGACTATCTTAAAATTAAGTACTAAAAATACATTTTTCATGCTAAGTTTAAATGCATAACTCTAATACGATGAATTGTTTCAGAAGGGTGCTGAGCACACATAAAAGTTAGAAGTGTCAGAAATACTTTTAATAAATTCCTATGTATGTATTGTATTTCAATAAAAAATACCTAATCCCCATGATCTAGTAGGTTATGTCTTAGATCTTTTTAAGTGTGTAGGATCTGATAGGAACTGAATTTTGCAACTGTTGAAAGTGTCTAATCAGCCATAACTGCCAATATACCACTGAAATTTTTATATGTGTTTAACACATAAATGAAATACAGCCCTACTATGAAATCTTGGAGTCTATTTTACGACACACAGAACTCCAACATATTAAGATTGCATCAAAAATTAAATGCTTATTAAAACCACAGAGATCCTCGGAGTTACTAAAACGCTTCACCTATGTGTTGTCTGGTGACACAAATAAAAAGCTTCTAAAGGCAGAGTTTTCCAATTTTTAAAAAAAATCACAACAACCTTATAATAGTTCAAAAATACAATTACAGTATTTTGAAAAAATATACAGGGAGGGGCCAGGGAGATGGCTCAGTGGAATAAGTGCTTGCCTGGCAAGCACAGGGGCATGAGTTCAATCCCCAGTTCTGACAAAAAAAAAATATATATATATATGCAGGGAGAAAAATTACAAAGAGAAGACATACGGCAGGAGAACAACATGAAAGGCATTAAAGATCCACATTGAAGGGAAACCTGTAATCACAGTGGTTACAAATATAGTTCTAAACCTGTACAAAATATTTAAAAATAAATGCACCACTTTGAGGTGAAAATAAAAATGATTTTTTTTTTTTTTTTGGTGGTACCAGGGATCAAACTCAGGACCCTGTACTTGCCAGGCAAGCACTTATTCCACTGAGCTATCTCCCCTGGCCCCAAAAAATGAAATGCTAAAGGTAGCAAAAAAAAAAAAAATCTTCCCACCAACTTAATACATTCAAGTTGCCTTAAGGATTTATATTACTTACGAAATATCACATCTAGAAATCTAACAGGTTATTACAGAAATAATTTTGCAAGAAAACCTCACAAGAAACACAGTTTGAGACGCGCAGTGCACACAGCTGGAAATGCCAAAAGCTACCCTTCACCAGGGAAAGAACTCGAGCAGCAGGCACAGGAAAAAGAACAACTTAGACTCAAGTGCTTAGCTTTCCAGATCTAAGGCAAAGGACTGGAGGGGAGCCCAAAGAGACAGGTAGGTCTCTACAAACAGATGCTTTACAAGGCTCTAAACTGCTTCCCATTGTTGGTTTGTTTATTTTTGCCAAGGATCAAAGTGTGAGGCTGAACCCTTCAGAGCCAGAGTCTGACTACACCTTGGTGCTGCAGGAAGATCACCAGCTGGGAAGTCCACACAGCACCGCGCCACCCCCAAGCGGGCAAAGGAGAACTGGGGACCCCCTCTGTGAGGGCAAAGAGAAGGAGCGCCCAGGGCAAAGGCACGGGGAGTCCTCGGGCGAGGTCAGCGCAGCTTGGAGGAAGGCCCTGGCTGGAGCCTGTGCTGGTGGGTAATGGAAGGCAGCCGCATCTCGGGCTATTTTAGGTGCTTGGACTGCGACCTAGTGAACAAGGCAGGACGTGCCAGGCTCTGCCTGCGAGAGGCAAGAGCACCCCAGCCACCTGCGTGTGAGGCTGATTCTGTGTCTGTCTGTCTGTCTTTCATCCTCATTCACTCTCGGGGTCAGGTCACAAAACAGTACGCTAGGTCCCTATAGTGGGCGACACATTTTAAATCTAAGTCAGAAAAGTCTATTAAATAGCATCAAAAAATTACTATGCTGATAAAGAATATGAACAAAAAATGTATTTTAATAACACTATTTCATCCACTTTTTCCCCAAATCAGGACTCTTTATAAAAATAAATCTCAACCACATGTATATAAAAAAATAGAAACCCAAAGTACACAAAACAGTTTGACAAATGTATATGTGGTATACAGTTCTATTATCCTCCAAATTGACTGCCTCTACAAGAAAAAGAAATGAATCTAAAGTGTATAGGAACAGGAATAATCTGAAGCACAGACTGTCAATGTGAACAGGTAGAAAAATTGCTTTTTTCCCTCTAGCACCAGGGATCAAACTCGGGGCCTTGCACTTGCCAGGCAGGTGTTTAGGCCACTGAACTGCATCCTTGGCCCAAAGAAATGACTTTCTAACAGAGCAGTCCTCTATACTTATTTTTTTAATTACGTGTTTTATTCAAATTTTGGAGTAAAAGAAAAGATTCATGCTGTCGCTAGGAAAAGAAAAATGTTGAAATCCATTGAACAAGGCATGATGGTCATGATGCTACAGAATAGGATAAGGGAGTAAAACAGCCAACACAAATTTAGAAAGAATGCGTTTATCTGCAGTTGCAACCACATGAAAACCCACTGCCCCTTAGTTCTAAATTCTGGACATTGTATTTGAAAGTAATATTTACCACTCTTCATCTCTCCAAGTGCTTTAGGGAAAATACAGAAATAGGATTCTACAGAATTCAATACATTGTTAAACCCTAAGGTAATTCTTCTCTAAAACAGAAAAGGACTCTTGAGCCCAAAATCCAGCACAGTCCAGATTTCAAATCCCACCACACAGATGAAGCTCCAAGGCTATGCCAACTGCAGTGCTAATGTTGTGGAAAGTCTAGGGAGTGTGTGGTTTTGTTTTGTTTTTTACCCCATTTGTTTAGCAGAGTTCTTTGAAGAATAATCAAGTTTTCATGAGTTTATGCTGGACACCCCATAAATGTCTCTTGGTACGTACTTCTCTAGGTAACTTCCATTGTAACATAAAAATACATACATAAAATACTGAATTCTTGAGATACAAGGTAGAAAACCAATTTACACCCTAGGAAAAGGTTTAGAAATACATGAAAAGAAACTTAAAGATAAAAATGATCCCTTAAAAAAATGTCCCCTTACTTTTTTTTGGAAAATGTAAAAAACGTAGGGAGCATCATGCAAGCCCAAGAAGCTAGTCTGTATTCTCTTTCCTGTACCAAGCCCATTAAAACAAATACCGCACGCAGAGCACTTATTTTCATTGCAAATCACTTTTTATCATTGAGTCCTGCAGATATTTGGTTTCCAGAAACTAGAGAGCACATAGAGTAGTTTGCTGATGAAATCTATGCGGCCAGCGGAGAACACAGGCCCCAGTGCTGCAGCTTCTCCAAGACGCGGTGGTAGCCAGCAGGACAGCCCGGCGTCTTCAGAGGCCTTCAGTCCACAACGACCATCACCCCCCTTCCCCCGGGCACTCAAGGACGCCAGTGCCTTAGAGTTAAAACATCTTTAAATGGATGCCAGACATCCACATTCTCTTTAATTCTTTAAGGAGAAACTTCCTTCACAATGCTCCTAGTCTGGCACGAAGTCCCTTCTTAAGTCTAATTTTACCTCACATACACCTTCCAAATCACTAGCATTTGGACAGATTTCCTTCCTATTCTGGTTGCAACAGTGCACACCTATAATCCCAGCACTCAGGCTGCTGAGACAAGAGGATCGTTTCGAGTTCGAAACCAGCCCGGGTTATAAAGTGAGCTCAAGGCCAGCCTCATAGCGAGAACCTATCTCAAAAAAGGTTAAAAAAAAAAAAATTCCTTTCTTATACATTATTGTCCTTCATTACATTTTTCAACAGAACAAAACTGAATCTATGATATTCCTCGATCTATGTTTCTCCACTTCATCTCATTTCTCCGCTCTGAGTGGCAAGAAGCGCTGCTTCACAAAGCTTCATGCCGGGAAGGACAAGAGCCTGTTTTGTTTTGTCTGCTTTGCTCCATTATAGGGTGACACTTTCATAGCATACAATAAGTCGGACAACTAATAAGTTAAATAGAAAAAGAACACACACAGAGAATACAAGTCCCCAGATACCGCCTTTGGATATCATGGCAAAAATAAACTATTCCAAATGTTTCTAATCTTATCTTGTACAGCAACAGCAGGCACTTCCTGTGCAGGAACTGACCTGGGCCCCTCACACAGAGGAGCCCGCCCCACCGCCACCAAGGCACTGGTCGTCCCTACTTGTTTGTTTGCCCAGATCTTTAAAAAGTCCTTTACAGCAGCTGGTGTTTTCTCTGTCCCATCTCAAAATCTCTTCTCACTTGTTGGCTGTCTTAGTGTGAACCGCCCGGGTAGCTTTCTTCTTCTGGTAACTGATCACAAGACCCTTTCTCTTTGGTCTTCTCTGATGCCTCCTCCTCCCTGGGGGTTGTCTTCCTGCCCTTGCATCTTGGGTCAGTGCTCCATGTGGAGCTCTAATTGTAGCCTGCTTTCTTCCTCTATTCACAAAGACTGTATTTCCTGATTGAACCTTGGTCTCTGAAAATCCTTCTTTTCTAACTGAGATGGTCAGTCTTCTCACCAACTTCCTGCCCTCACACGGATATTTCTATTCAAACTGATTAGCCTTCTATCGTAAATCACACCAAATATTAGTCAGATATTCCTGCATTCTCAGGTTCTGTGGCAGATACAAGTTGAAACAAACCAAAATTTCACCTCACAAGGTGCCCTGGAGATCAGGCTTCGAGTCCAGCAAGGCTCGGCTCCACCTGTAGCTCCGGTTGGCTTCATAACCAGCTGCCTTGGTGTATCCCATTATACCCGCTTCATGGACTGCTGAAGTTAATTAAATAATGGTGTGCAGTAACTGGCACAAAGAAAATGCTCCATAAATGCTCTTGTCATTGTTATTGTTATTAAAGTTAGTTACTCCTGCAGTGACTTCTTACTTGTATTGTTACGAATCATTTTTGTGAATGCTTCATCTATAGACTGGATCTGTGGCAGTGTGTGATTGTCTCGCTCCTTATTGCAATGACAAGCATTCTAAACCACGGAGAATTGTGTGGAGTGTCAGAAAGTGGCTCAAACACTCACATAGGTGCATTTAGGGGCATGATAGCCCACGAGCTGTATTCATCTTCCCGCACAGCCACTGGCCACTGGCCATCAGGCCACCTGATCTGTCTTGATTTTGTTTTCTCTTCACGAGAGCCCCAGTCATAGTACACCATCTGTATTTTTCTCATTCTTTAAATCTTCTAGGTAAAATTACATTTTAAATTCCAAATACAAACTTCAAGGTGAAACATATCTATTAGTACATTTTTTTAGAAAGGCTTATTCAAAGATTAAAAAAAAAACTCTGTTCCAATGTTTGAAAGAAACAAGAATCAGTCTATATATGACATGAAACATTAAATAAGGGTTCAAGAAAAGAACTTTTTAAAGAAAGAGACAGACATTTGTATAAGGCTTTCCAGTTTGGCACTCTATTCATAGGACATACAGATACATTATAAAATTCAGGCTAACATATTCAGTGATTAAAATCTACTACTTGGGCTTTAGCCAGTGTTTCACTGTTTAATAAACACATAAACAGCTACCAATAAACACACCCTACTCCTGCTGAAGCGTACGCTAAGCACTTTCCACTTGGTGGCTCACTTCTCATCATAACGAAACCTGCGGAGTATGTGACGTTTTGTCACTGAGTACCCGAGAAAGTGGAGTGTGCAGCCTAGACCTAGACTACGGTGACACGGAGTGCCGGCCACACACCGGCATCCTGCAAGCCGCCCTCGACTGGTAAAGTAGTTCACTCACTCGGCAGCCCCCTCCCAAGAGTCCTGCACGCACTAAAGCGAAGAGCTCAACAAAGTAACGACAGAAAAAGGAAGCAGAGGCTTTCATAGGCCAGACAAAAAACAGCATCTATGGAAAAGAGCATAAATACGCTCGAGAAAAACAGGAACCCACCTTCGTGACCTATGACGGACCTGGAAGCTGTCTGAAAGCTAATGATTCCTGCCACGTTGTCGTTGGCCAGGATGTTCACGCGCACAGTGTCCGAGCTGGGCAAGATCCTGCTGCCGCCGTCCGTGTACACCAAGCTAACCACGATGCTCTCGTCATCTTCTGGCTCAGAGTCATCCAGAATGGTCAGAAGGGCCGTCTTCTTGGTTTCACCTATAACAAACAATGATGGAAGTAAAAGCAAAGAAACAAAATCACTAACATAGAGAACTCAGAAAGCCCAAAACAACTTTTATTTTAAAAAGTTAAATAAAATCACATTAGAGAATCATAATAGCTCAATATTCCTCCCAAATCATTTATTAGGAAATAGTATTTATTATACAAATATTTTCTACTATTTTAAAACTTACTCTTTTTTTTCCTGTATCTTAGGGAAGGGTCTACAGGGTATTCAGGGCCTCACTACTAGATTGGACTCGTAGTGATCCAACTATTTACAGCCTTCCAAGAGCTGGGATTACAGGCATGCACCACCACACTCAGTCTCAATTGCCGTCTCAGGGCATCCAAGGGACAGGACTGGCACGACAAGCCTGGGGATTAAACCCCTTTAATCTGCTGAGCTATTTAGTCAGCCCTTTAAAACTTACTCTAAAACACAATGGTATTAGATATTTCCAAAAGTAACCCTGTCTGTACTATGATTCCTAGTTTCCTAAAATAATGTGTGCATTAAAAAGTTAAAGAACAGTTACAATGGATGTCTCTAAGACAAGGAATTACTGCACAATTACATTCCCCTCACTTTATTATATATTCTGATGTTATTAAATGGGTATCACTTTCCAATCAATAATATTACATTAAAAAATCAGCATTTATTATTGCCTAAATCAGAATTTAAACCATGATTTCAGTGAAGATAACTTTTCCACACATAATTGAACTGTTTTAAAACTATGAAGTTTTCTAATTTTAAGTATCAGAAGATTCAACTTGTCCTGACCATCAGGGGTCCTATTTCTAGTTTATAAGTCATACGATATATAATTATATTGTCTATGAAAATGTTCATAACCATTCTACCCAAGTCCAAAAGACTACTGTTTTTAAATTAATCATAGTGATTAATTTATAATAATTAATCATTACAATTAATTTCCTATGATACAATCATCAAAAATTTTAGTATTTTGCTTCCACGTCATTTCGGCTGATGGTGTACCCTGGCTTATCTAGGGCACATAAAACGCTTACCAGGAGACACTGCCCTTGCTTTGCACAGTACTGCCGCCTCTTACCACATGTGGTGGATATACTGCCCCATCTCGAAACTTCCTTTACAAATTAGAACCTGTATTATATTTGCCTCTGTCTTGTCTTAAAGGCACTGGTATTGTGCATAATAAATATAATTCACACATTCCCTGAAAATCTTTTCAATAAATAGGTAAGTACGTTGTCACATCAGCCTCTATATGTCAGGCATCAATGAGCCAGCTACTGTTTTGTCCAAAGCTATAGTGTAGTTCTACACATTAGTAAAAGCACATACTGAAGAGTTCTTAGAAGCCCCAGCGTACAGATTGACTCTGACAGCTATCATGGAAAACTGAAATCCACCTGGAACAAGACTCACCTTCAGCAAAGGTCAGAATGTCCCCAGCACCTATAAAATCTAAACCTTCGGTAGCTGTCCCACCAACGACTCGCCATTCCACGGTCACCTGACCCAAGCTGCCCCCAGTCCTGTGGATCACCAGCTCCACCACAGTTTGCAGCTGTTCCTGAACTTCCACCAATGAGCCATCTTCTGAAGTGTTGGGGCCAATACTGTAGATCACAAACACCCCAAAGGCATCTCCATTGAGTGCTATGACAACTGTGGAAGTGTTTGGCTGTCCTATGGTTGGCTGATTTTTAAAACTGGCTGTGATGTTCATGAGGCGAACTTCAAGGAGAGAAATGAGGAAGCTCTCATCCACTTCTGGCAGGTCATCGGGAAGAATAGAAACTGTGAGATTTGCAAACTCATCGCCTTCCAGCATGAAGGCCCACTGCCTCGTCACAGGCTCATAGTCACTACCGGCAGCAGCCTGACCACTAAACAGAGACGCCACCCTGGTCATGTTTTTCCTGTAGGTCCAGAAGTCAGAACTGTTGACAGCTGGGCTGACCCATGAGGTTACCCAAAAGCACTGAGGACCCTCAGCAGCACTGAGAAATGAAAAGGCGGAGCAAGCCTGCTCTCGGAGGCACAGCATGGCGCACGTGTACCGTGGCTCCCTCTCCACAGAGACATTCACCCACGTCCTCCAAAGCGGGTCAGGAACCCCGTGCACAGGTGACTCGTAGTAGGACAGTAAATCGTGACCTTCCTCAACTGCAAGGGCCACTATGTCAATATCGGAAGTACTGTAGAACAATAGCAGCTGACCAAAGTGCCCTCCGCTAAAAGGTGGAAGACAAGGAAGACACAGGTAAGCCCTCAGAGCCGGGTGGATCGCGAACGGAGCAGAGCGGGGCTGAGTGTGGCTTAAGTACTCGTAAACTACAACCATGTCCGCTAAATACTTCTGGTTTTCAACACTGTCTCTTCTCATGTAAAGGAAACTTACTAGTTTTCAATCAAATAATGTGTATATTAATCAAGTTATGAAAGCATCTTGCAAGATATGTACATGGTTGCAGAACTTCCAAACAGAATAACAAAATAATTTTGTTGCTAAATTTTGAAACAAAGTATTAACAATATTATGCTTACATTTTTTAGCAAATGTAGTTACTTGCCACGAGATCCCTCAACCCCTAAGTTTTCTGTTTCTGAAGGAGCTCAATGGACACTCGTATAAGAAAAGGCCACTGGTTAGAAGACAACACTATGAACTAGAACAAATACTGTGAAATTTATATTACTTTGGTAAGCGGAATTCTGTATCACTTGCAATTTTTTGTTTTAACTCTAATTTGTACTCTCTTTGAAAAAGAAAAGGAATAAGCAAAAGGCCAAAGCTGGAACTGAAGCTCTCCTAAGACATGCGAGTGCCCCTCACTTAGATGACAGAGCTGTACTGATTCTGAAACCACAGACGGGAGCAGTCTGCTGTGCATTGTGAAGGTATGACGGTGTGTGACCCATCAGCCGTTTCACTAGTAACGGGCACGGATGCTACGCAGGCACTTTCCATTGATATTGATAGACGTAGCTCAATTAACACATTGTAATACAATACAAAAGGAGCTACGATATAGAAAAGACACCAGTCTAAGTGACAGTGTGGTGGAAGGACCCCGCTGCTGCCCACGGCCCAGCCCCCCCACCAGGGCACGCAGGAAGGAGCTCACGTACCTTCGCCTGACAGTTATGTTAGCACAGGAACTCCTTTCCACGGGCTCTTGAACGCGATAAACAGCCTGGACAAAGGCCACTGTACCGTAAGGGTTATCGTTGGCGGGAATAACAATATTTGCCACATGATCTAACCCAAGAGTACCTCCACCCGAGGCCTCAGTTAGCTGTACTTGAATGACCTAAAAACATAGTGACAACTTCCTTAACAGCTTCTCACTTCTGAAATTAGAATAAGAATTATACAGGAAAATAATCAAACATATCCACTCATATACAAGAACAAAATGTAAATAGACTCAACAGTCTCCCCCGTACATTTATAAACCCAGCTGTAACAAAATAACCCATCATTGACTTTTCATAATAGAGCATTCTTATGCATGAGAAATACAGGCTGTTTACATTTCTTAATGTTTAATTATATAGCCATGTAAATCAATTTTAAGATCCCTGTACAGAAACATAAATATAATTACAGTTCAGACATATGAATTCTATGTCCTAAACCTTTTTTACCTAAAGCACTGCATATACATGTTAGTGGAAAGTTATTCCACTGTGCTGTATTTCCCACCTTGCCTTAAACAGAAATTTTCTTGCAAAGCTTAAAAGATAAAGCATCATCTTCTAAAGTCAACTAAATTTAAGAGTGTGTCATGTTGCTTCATCTTCAAGAAAAATACACATCAGGAAAATATGTATCTAGTCCATTTGTCATTCAATAAATTCTCGATAATGGTTAAAGACGAGTAAATTAGTAGAAAATCAGGATACTTAGTAAGATTAGCTCATACTTGAGCCAAAAGGAGCATGAACACAAATTAAGAGTTTATGCAAAGCAAATGTAGCAAGAATTATCATAGATGCATACGCTCCTTCTATCATTTAACGAACATGTCCAAACATTCAATGTAACGGCACAAAAACATCATCCCGGTAAATTAACAAGCATGTCCAATCTATTTCTACAATATGTCTGCTTGTGTTATATATAAAGGTCATTTTCAAACTAATACATTTTGGACATTTTTGCAGACATAACTTATTTGACATCCTTTCTAAAATGTCACAGCAACGGTGACCTGCTCTTGTCACTATAATACAAAGCACAATGTACAGTGTCATTCTCTACTAGTGATGCCTCTCACCTCTTCGATCTCCGGAACGTCGTCAGCCATGACCTCTAACAACAAGGTTTGAATGGTTTCCCCAGGGGCAAAGGTCACATTACCTGAGACAACTCGCAGGTCACCAGTAGCGAGCTGTCCATTAATGGTGGCAACCCATTGAACAGTGACATTGCCGAGTGTCCCAGAATTTCGAATTATTGGCAGGTTTACCTTCACTGAGTTAAACTCAGGTTCCTCTACAATAAGTTTAGTAATCTGAAAACCTGAAGGGCAGAGAAGAGTTAATTTCAAGTATAAAGGATGCTGAGCTAAAATAAAACTAGTATCTTTTGGTGGGGGGGTCCTTCTTCCCCTAATAGTCCACATAATTATACCCACAAACCTCAGTACCACACTGAGGCACCTCTTGGTCAGCCCTGTAAAACTATTTCTCATTGTGATAAAAGCAGAAATGATAACTCAAATGTCCACAAAGCCCATGGATGTTCCAGACAGCTATAAAATAAACCCGCTGAGGGGAGGGCTGTGGTTGGGTCCTTGTGGCTAGCATGGTCCTCCAGGTGTGGGGGGCATTTTGCTAAAACTATACAGGAAAGAAGACTCAATCATACCAGATTTTCCTTTTTTTTTAAAAAAAATGTATTTGGTATAGGGTCTCACTACGCAGCTCAGACTTGTAGTGATCCTCCTGTCTCAGCCTCTCCAGCGCTGGGATTACAGGCATGCGCCCCCATGCCCAATTTCAGTGGCCCGCACAGTATACCAGGGTTCCAGGACCAGCACAGCATGTGGTACCATGGATTGAACTCAGGCTCTTGTGCTTGCCTAGGCAGGCACTTAAACCACCAGAGCTAACTCTGTAGCCCAGATTTTCCTATTTATCAGAAAGCTCAGAAATCCAGAGCTGACTGGAAATTTCTTTATATTAATTATTTTAAGGAATTAGCTAAATTCAAAAGACACATGTAGGAGCCAGATCTGACCTTAAAGCCAAAAAGCTATAATTTCCATCTCTGTGTTAAGAAGTGATTTTCTTTCCTTATTCCTTTTCTTTGAAACAATTACTAACCATTCCTCTCCCTGGGCATCCAGTATAGCAGGCTAAAAAGAATTCCTGAATAAAGCAATTTGTCTCAATCAAAATAAAGAAGAGGCCATTTTATCTATGACATGCCAGCAAGTAAAAGACACAAAGGACCCTGATTACCAAATAATCCGTAGGGGTCGTCGGAAGCCTCAATAATAATGATCGCCTCTGTTAAAGCGCCGAGCTTGGCTCCTCCTGTTGTTTCATTCAGCAGCTGTATGAGGAAAGTCTCTTCCAGCTCAGGGGAGATGTCATTAATGACATATATTGGCACAGCTTTACTGGTTTCCCCTTCTAGCAAGACCACGTCTGATGAAGCTATACTATAGTCTTCACCTACAAAGACAAAAGGCTTATTCCAAAATAGGGAACACGTCCCATGCTGGGGAAACACAGTCAAAATTTATGGATGAACCCAGAAGACTTTTTTTAAAAAAGATTTATTTATTTAGTTAATTGGTACAGAGTCTCACTACGCAGGTGGGACTCATGGTGATCCTCCTGTCTCAGCCTCCCCAGTGCTGGGATTACAGGCATGTGGCCAGCACAGTATATGGTATCAGGGATCAAACCTGGGTCCCTGTGCTTGCCAGGCAGGTACTCAGACCACCGAGCTATCTCTCCAGCCCCTGGAAAACTTTCTGAGGATATTAACTAAATTTCTTCTAAACAAGAATATTTTTCCTTTTCTTTTTTTTGTGGAACTGGGGATTGAACTCAGGCCCTTGCGCTTGCCAGGGAAGCACTTATTCCACTGAGCCATCTCCCCGGCCCCTATTTTTCCTTTTCAATATCACCAAATAATAAAAAGGACTTCCTAAGGGTGTTCGCATACATTCCTCCACCTTCAGAGAGACGTCGCACATAGTCTGGAGTGTGTTTGCGTGCATGTATATTTATGCTTGTGTGTATATTCAGAGACAGAGACAGAGTTATTCATTATCATAAAATATCTCGTATCTACCAAAATAGAGAAGCATGCAATACTTTTTGTTAGAACAAAGAACAGAACTGAATTCTGGGCGCTAAGCTATTTTCTTACACAGATGGGGCACATCAGCACTGTCAATGGTACGGCCAAAACTGACAGGCTCACACGCAGCTGGACTCCAAGCTGCTGCTGAATATCACGCAGGCCAGCCTGGGCTTTGTTCCCGGTCTCGCATGGGCAGGGAGAGGGGCCACTCTACCTGGCGCCTCCTGGTGAGGGTCTCAGCTCTGTGCACGCACCGCCTGTCCATGTGGGAGGCCACGGGGAGGCTCCGGGGGCTGCTCACCTGCCACGCGCCCTCAGACTGCACAGTCCTACGTGCCCGGACTCATCACCTTCTCGAGCAAGGTCTGTGCCCAGCCAGGTACTGCCCACAAATCAGGCACAGTATGCCATCCCCTCACACTCATGTCCTTGAGGGAACCCTGGAAGATTCTCACGTAACTGCTTGTAGACAAATCTCTCTCAAAACACTGGAACTGAGCTGCAGAGAAGGTAGCATCCCATGCCTGCATTTGACAATGAAACCCTTCTGCCTGCTTAAATTGGTTAATGCTAACCACTGCCTCCTCCATATCCTCCATCAATAAACAAGCAAGACAAGGGGGTCAGAGGGGAAGCGACAGCTCCTCAGCAGCCACATATGCATGACTCTCTCTCAGGACATGGACACATGCACACAGAGAAAGCCAACGACACCCAGAGCTTACCTTTCATCAGTTTGTGGGTATTTGGGTTATCACAGCTTTTGAACATATGCACAATTTACTATCAGCTTTCCCAAGTTTGGGTCAGGGGATATATTAATGCTCTAGATTTGTGTCCAAAAAAATGCCAGAACCATACTGGCTGATTTTTCTAATCACATCTGTGGGTAACTTTGTTAGTCAGGGACACGTGTCCTTCTGAAACAGTTCCCTGCTCTCAGATGTCTTTTCTTACCAGCAACTGCAGTTATTGGCACGGCTTTAAACTTCACGGAAACATCTGCGAAGGCCCCTCCTGTCCTAGTCACATTGATGATGGGCCCCACGTGATTTTCTGCCACTCGGACCAGCGGGGCCGAGAGCTGCAGCATCCCGAAGGCGTCATCGTTGGCGAGGATGATGAGATGCGCGGTGGCTTCCACCGGAGGCCCGAGGCGAGGTGAGTTGGGAACTGAAAGCAGAAGAGCAGGCGGCACACCAACCTCTAGAGACTGCCTGAGCTTCGGGAAGCCTCGGGAAGCCCCCAACAGCCAAGTGAGGTCCTCGCTGGATGCTCCTCTCTGCATTTACATTTTTAAAACTTGAATGTGTACCCGTATTAATCCAGGCATTGGAGACACAAAACTAAATCACAAGTCCCTGCTTCCTGGAAGCTTATATTCTGTGGAATTTTTTTTTTTTTTATAAAATTAAAGCAAGGAAACAATGACCCTATAGGAACTGTTGAACATTTATCAAAGGGAAAATGATTCAAGTATCATTAACCGTCAATTTACATAATGCTACAATGGATAATGAACTTACAGAACTGTGATCTTCTAGTTAGTTCGCCAACATGCCAATTTAAAAATAAAAGCACTCTACTTACAAAAGTGAGTGGGAAAGTAACTTAGTCCCTTGAGCTCAAAGGCCAGTGACAAACTACAGTCACCCTACTAAGAATAGCAGGACTTACTCTGCCTATTGAGCAGTGTTTGTAACCTGTCCCTCAAGGATCCTGTCCCTTCCCCCATCTTTTCTCCTCTTTAGTAATCTTTGTTCTATTCTCTTCCTGAGAACAACGTTTTTAGCTTCCACGTATGAAGATTAATATGCAGTATTTATCTTTCTAGGCTTGGCTTAATTCACTTAAAATAAGGCGCATTAGTTCCCCCTACTGTGCCACCAACAAAATTCATTCTTTGTTATGGCTGAATAATATTCCACTGCACACATATCTTTACCTATTCATCTGTTGGGGCATGTGGTCACACGTGACAGAGTCACTGCATAGTGCACATGGTGTACGCGTGCATGCAGATGAGGAATCTGAGATGCACAGAAACTGTGCAAATTACCTAAGGCCTTGCACTCGAACTGTCAGGCACTGTCGAACAGGTCACTGGAACTGCATAGGTCTCTTCACTTCCTGCTCTCTACCCACAATCCTTCACCAAGCCAGCTGTGAAAGCTGCTGTTAGCAAGGATGGGGCCTCCTGCCCTACACACAGGCCCAGGTGCTGACCTGGGCCCTCATGCGTGAGAGCTGAAAATGGTACTCAGAAGGGAGCTTCAGGTTCTAGGCCAAATTTGTCTATTAAAGTTTGGGCCACAGTTACACAGACGTGCATTCAGTTGTTCATTGTTTACCTCCCCATGCAGTTGCTCTGAGCCACCCCACATCCGACGCACATCTGTGGGGACACAACAAATGTGAGACGCATGAGGATGCCTCGCTGTAGCACACACGTACTGCATGGATGCCTGAGCTGGTCACCACCGCCCCTCTTCACCAAGTGCTTACCATGTTCAGGCGTTGTTAATATTTGACCCTCGCACTATAGTATGAATAAGCAAACTGGGGCTGTTAAAATGAGATGGGGCTTTTAAAATCAAATGAATAGCTTTCTATGACAGCCTGGACCATGAGGCATCTGACACCAACACCCTAGCCCCTGGGACAGCATGAGCTCCTCTTGGTTTTACTTCCACTTTGATAAATTGCTGAGTTGCCTCAAAATCGAGCTGTGTTTTACAACTGTTACTCAATAAGAATAATTACTGAGCTTTGCTTAAATTTGGTTTCCACTCTAACTGATCTAAATCTGGCTTTAAAAAAAGCACAGAGGGGTTGTGTGAGAATTTTTAACATTGACTTCAATGTGAAGATTTAATGTTAACAATTATAAATTTTCTTCTACAACCTGAGATCAAAATTATTTTCATTATGGCTAAAGAATGTTGTTTGTCTGATAGATTATAGCCAGCCAGGTGTTACAAAGGTAAAGACGCTGGTGAGAAGCCTTAATCCACATGGCAGAATATAAGCAACATGAAGATCTTCAAATTTTACGTTTTAGGACATATAACTCCACAAACTCACAATTTCTTATTTTTTCTAATATTTATTTGTTTGTTTGTTACAGGATCTTGCTATATAGTTCAGACTCATAGTGATCCTCCTGTCTCAGCCACCCCAGTGCTGGGATTACAGGCGCGCACCACCGCGCACAGTTTCAGGGGCCTTTGCAGCCTCCGGGGCCAGCATAGCATGCAGCACCATGGACAGAGCCCAGGTCCTTGCGCTTGCCAGGCAGATGCTTAGATTGCCAAGCTATCTCTGCGACCCCACAATTTCTTATCTTTACAAGCCCTATCCCCTCTCCACAGAAATTTGTTACCACTACTGTCCAGAGCTTTGGGTGGTTAGGGAATCTTCCAAGGTGAATCTAGTAATATCCTTGGACTCAGGAGATTGAGTCCAGAAAGTCTGAAGCTATAACACAGTATAATACAGTAGCGCTAGCGATCAGCAACATATAGGTTCCACAGAAGCTTCTAAAATTAACTGTATTATCGATATCTGCTGGTCTTTTGAAAGGAACAGTAAATGCTTCAATTTTTTTTTAATTCTGATTTTTTCCCTCTTTTGAATTTCTTATAACTTCTTTGTTGGTTTTTTTTTTCTTTAAATGAATCTTACATGTTTATATCTGATAATCTGAACAACTAATTTGAAGACAGCATCATGTAATACAGCAACTATTGTTGAATTCCTATTACCTTGCTTAGTGAAATCTTGTATTGTTTCTAATGATTCTTTTCTATCACTATTTTGCATTCTCTAAGAATAAAAAATAAACAAAATTCACTGAAAATATAACTGACATTTAAACTACTGTGGGAAGGGAAATCTGTGCATCTCCCACTGCTTTAGACATAAACTCATGCGAGACCATGCTTTCCAAGTTAGCAGCTTAGTATCTGTATGCAAGTTTTATTTATTTATTTTTTACTAACGTCTACACGTAACGTTTTAAGACTCATCTCTAATAATAACACACTAGCAGATACTCACTTGGTCGATCCTGTACTTTCTCCATTAAAACGGCACCGAGCAGCTCAACAAACACGGACTCCGATCTTTCTGGTTCATCATCATCCAGAATCGAGACGGTGATTGCTGCTTCGCTCTGATTGGCTCTGAAGAGAGCAGACCCGGAAGCGGACACGTAGTCTCTTCCTTGAGTCGCTCTGGCTAAATTCGGTGGAAAGTACGCTGGTTTTTTCAGATCATCTACTGTTGCATAGGAAACACTGACGCTCCCCAGGAGGCCTCTCAGCCTGACTATTGATAACGTGACATTCTGGGTCACTTCCTCGACTGTCATAGGTCTATTTTCTGCAGAAAAAACAAATACCCCACAAGGATCGTCACTGGCCAAAACTATTAGCGTGGCATTGGTGTGAACTCCCAAGGAGCCTCTAGAGACATTCAGGATTGACACTGAGAATGCCTTATCCAGCTCAGGCTCTTCATCTGGCAGGACTTCCACAGTGATGTGGGCGCGCGTCTGCCCAATCTCGAAGGTGACGTTGCCAGAGGTGAAGGCAAGATCACCATCAGGGTCTGAGTCTATTCTCCAACGCAAGGTCACCTGGGACAGAGCCCCATGACTCCTCACCACCTGCAAAATATATAATGGCAAAGTGTTTCAAAGATAGACTGCACCCAGGGACTCAGACACATGTGAGCACAGGACTGCAGCATCGTAGATTTTTCTTATCTAAGTTCTCAAGACTGTAAGATTATTCAAGGCAAAAAAAATACAGCACCTATCGCTGACAGCCTCAGAGGCTGTACAACTGGAGGGCAGTTGAAAGATTCTTATGGGTGGGCATGGTGGTGCACGCCTGCGATCTCAGCACTGAGGCAGGAGGACTGCATGAGCTCAAGGCCAGCCTGGGCTACACAGCGAGGCCAAGGCCAGCCTGCACTACTTAGTGAGACCCTCTCTCACAAAAAGAAAAAATTCAAGAGATTATTATACAAAACCATAAATTGATGGAAAAATGTTAGTTTCTAAATTATAGGTACATCTCTTATATAATTATAATATATATAAAAATGAATCAAATATGACACACTTTATTACACTTGTGCATATTTATAAAAATTTACATATATTGCAAAAAGGCAGTATTTACTTGATTGTAAGAAACATATGCGTGACATTTTCTGAAGTTAATCATAAAAGTCATTTCTGAAACAAATGATTTGGGCCAGGAAGATAGCTCGGTAGAATAAGTGTTTGCCTGGCAAGCACAAGGTCCTGAGTTCAATCCCAGTACCAACAAAAAAAAATAAAAATTAAAACAAATGATATTTTCTTTTATCTTTGATGTATTGCAATCAAAAAATACCAAAAAAACCCTACATTTGGCCAAGGTGCAATAACACATTTGAAAAGGAAGAAATGTTTTTCCAATATATGAAGGACAAATAACTTCAAAATATTAAAAAATAACTCCCAACTTCTTATTCTCAAAAATAACTATTTGTACTTCAAATGGTTGCTAACTGAAAATAGAATTATTGGAAATAATTTTATTAAAATGTGATCTTTGTTCCTAATTTATTTTTCTCTTTCTAAGTAGCCGTTCAATTAACTCCACAACAGTTTATTAAAGATCTACAGGAAGACAGAAAAATATGTTTGGGTGATTTTTTAAAATTATTTGTATAAAAGTGGAGGCCCCTTAAAAAGCTTCTAGCTCCCATGGGTCACTGAACACCAGTCTCCTTATTGATTTCTGCCAGAACCAAGCAGCACGAGTGCACGCGTGCACACACACGCACACACACAGACACACAAGCGCTCTCTCTCTCTCTCTCTCTCTCTCTCTCTCTCTCTTTCTCTCCTGCTGGGAAATCCAGAACAGGACTCCTGTACTTCACCCACTGCCATCAGGCATGGCTATGCCACTTGCTGTGACCATAGAAATCTAAATAGAAATACTGAAAATCACTTTCAGAAAGAATTGAAGAATGTGGAAGCAGTGGATTATGCCTGCCATCCCAGCTACTGGGCAATTTAGCAAGAGTTGGTCTCAAAATAAGACAAACTGGACAGCTCTGGGCAACTCTGTGAGACTGTCCCGAAGTATGACAAAAAGGAGCAGGGGTGTCGCTGAGCGGTCCAGTGCCTGCTGCGCATGCAGGAGCTCAGTCCAAGGTCCAAGAAGGGAGAAAAAAGGAAGACAAAATTAAGATCAAAACACCTACTGAGACCCAGGCTCTATACTAAGGACCAGGGCCCTTGCCAGTTAGGCTGGATGAATATCACGTGCAAAAAAACACCTTTTATTGCATTCAGACACTGAGATTTTGGAGACGCTTGTTCCCACACTGTCTGATTCACAGAAAAGTCCACGTGAGATAAATACTTGTATTAAAGCTTCATTGCAGAAATCTAGACTTCAGAATAATAAAACGAATTTATATGCACAGTTAAACACAGACAAATGCTAGATCACAGTTCAAATATCACTTTGGGGTATCTTTGTGGACCGGCTCATTCCTTTGCTTATAGGAGAAAAAAAAACAAGAAAACACACCTTCATAATGCAATAAAACTCTTTTAAAAGCACACAGAGTAAGAGTGGAGGAGAGAGGCACTCACACTTAACAAAACAGTGCTGTACCCATCTTCTGGTTCAGTTCCATTGACAAAGAGCGACTCGGGGCTAAACTCAAACACGCCGTGTGCGTGGTCAGAGGCGGCGATGGTCACCAGGATCCGGGAAGCCACTCCTAGGCTGGCTGCAGGAACAAGTTCCAACAAAGAGCAGGAAAATGTTAGTCAGTAATTGACTAGCCACAGGAAAAGCCAAGGAGCAACGCTTTGAAAGGAGCCCTTCCATTCACAGAGGAACTCTAATTTGTTTTAGAAAGAAAGGCAAACACAGACAATTGCTACATGTAGTCTTGTTTTCACGACCTCGCTCTACACTGGCACCAATGTGGTCCCCACACAGCTGCTCAGAGATGCATAAGGAAAACTTGTTTTTCTTTTTCTTCTCTGTGAAAGAGAACATTTTTCAGAAAGTATATGAGGAAGGTCTCCCATGACCTTCACTGGCCTTGAAAGCCAGAGTGGCATCCACCCTAGCAGATCAGTTATCTCCCCGTGATTTGTGTCAGTCGAGTTGAACAGATTCCTGGTTTCCAGTGTGTGCTAACTCCACGTCTGCTTTCACATCATCTTTTTGTATTTGCTTTTGTTTTGTAGTACCAGGGATTGAACCTGGGACCTTGCACTTGCCAGGCAGGCACTTATGCCACTGAGCTATAGCCCCTTTACATCAATTTATTACCCATTTTATCTCTGCTGAACCCAAACAGTCCAATCCTATACTAGAACGATGCTAACATCCAAAGAAGTTTTTTCTATTTTCCCAAGAAATATACTCCTTTTTAATTTTATATTACTGAGACCAAAAAAAAAATAACGTACAGGTAGCAGAGTAATTCATTACAGAAGTTAACAAGGTACAGATGGAATTTAGGGGTGAAGGGGCAGGAACATGGCTTTCAACCCTCCAGTAAGCACCCTGGCACCGGGAAACGGACCTTGAGAAGTGGGCAGCGCTGCTTCAGCAAGCAGGGCTCTGACTGTTCTCACGTGTGAAAAGAATGTCAAGGTGAAGCACAGAATCATACCCGTAGGGGCTGGGGAGATAGCTCAGGAGAATAAGCGCTTGCCTGGCAAGTGCAAGGACCTGAGTTCAATTCCTGATTCTGGGGAAAAAAAAAAGACTCATACTCGTGTCTGAGTCAACTTTCTGAAGCGTCTTCTTCTCAGCGTTCCCCCATGAACTGGCGATTTATGTCTCTCCATCTATCTGGTTTGCTCCTCATCTCTTTGCTGCTTGTTTTGAGTAAATGCCACACATAAAAATTCATGGTGTTTTTTGTACAGTAAATAAGCGTGAGGTACTTAACATGAAGACACAAATGCTCTACTTATCTCCTTTTAGGTACTCAAAGCTGTGTAAACTGTTCTTCAACCATTACTTTCACAGATGCTATTCAAGTACATCCAATAAGCTTCAGGGAGCTGCACGAGGCTCCAAGAGAGTCGAGCCTGGGCATCAGGAAGAAGGCTGTGACTCAGACTGAGTCGGGGCCCTGCTTGGAGACTGGAACCCAGAGCAAATAATGCCTTACAAAGCTGCAGAGATGGTTAATGAGATAAGATGTGGAAAGGACCAGCACACACTAGGGTCAGTAGGGGTTAGGACTGCTGCCTCAGAAGAGAGACACTAAAATAGGAACATGTACTAGTAAAGGACGTCGGGACAGCTGCTTACCACGTCTGTGAGTAGCCGGGAGGAAGAGATCCGTGTCCCCATCACCACTACCACTGCCATCACCCCTAAAGATTTCCGCCACTTCACAAGCGACACGGGGAGACACAGCCCACACACACACACATCGACACAAAGAGAAAATGAACAGTACTTAAAACATAGCAAGCGCAGAGGGAAATGCAATCATATTCATCAATGACACATTCTTCCATTGACAACGGATCAGTTCACAACACTGCAATGTTACAACACCAGCCAAGCTACTAAGCAATCACGACTTCATTCATTGGTTCAGGAAATACTCCGTTGTAAGCTGCAGTTGGTAGTTCACATTCCCAACTATTTGGTCATTTTATTTTTAAACTTTTATCTATTTACAGCAGTGTAAATTATTTACTAACATTTAAAAATGCTCATGTGATATATGAGTAACACTTAGGCCCATATGTCTACAACAATCACTCAAAAAATTTTTTGAAAATTACAGAATACATCGAACATTTCCCCGAGCCACACATTCAAACTCTCACAGCACTGACCATTCTTAAATTTGCCATTGACACTGCAGAAAGGGCAACTGGCCAGCCCTGGCCGTGAGACACCAGCCGGAAAATGTGCAGTGAGGCCTCGGCTATCTCGTCTTCCCCACCTATAATGTGCTGCCTTTTATAGAAAGGTGGTAAAGATAAAACAAAATAGTAGAAAATAGTGTGGTAGAAATGTAGACTGCCCTGGTGACCCACAAAGACCACAATGAAGGCCACGCAGTAACGCCCTCAATCCAGTACACCTTATTACGTTAGCCAACATTCAGCCAAATGCTTACAAAGGAGGGCGGCCATGAGAATTATGCAAAGCTGCGTAAGAAAAGCAAAGGCCCGCCCCCAGTGAACACACCAGCGCAGGTCTGTCCTGCTCTAGGGCTCGGTGTTGGAGCAGGCAGCCCCAGCGTCAGGCCCTGAGGACCTGGGGCCATCTGAGAAGCTCAGTGACAAGCAGGTCTCCAGCGACTGTCCAGCCCGCAGCCTGGTTCGTGCAGAGGGTGTGACGCGGACCGCTCCGCGTGCGCTGGCAAGCTCAGCACAGCCGCTCAGACCACAGCTGGCCCAACACAGTCAGCTCCGGGGCGAGCAGGGGGGTGCCTGCTGGATGCGCAGCGTAGCGGGTCTCCGAGCTGTGCACAGCGGGCAGAGGCAGCCGCGAGTGCAGGCGTGGAGGCCACCATCTGTGCCTGCTGTCTTCCAATCCCAGCCCACAGAGGGAAACTGATGCTCACCACGGCTTCTTAAGAAGAAGCACCAGAACTCCCTGTGAAATGACTGTGCCTGCCACATCTGCACAGCGAGCCGTCCCTATAGATGGGGACAGACCTCTCCGTGCCACCCAAATGTCACCTCAGGGATAGCTGAAGGTCACAGCCCATATGCAGTTGGGTAGGGAGATGCTGCATGGCACCACCAAAGCCCTGGGCACTGTCCCCAGTGAGAGAGAAAACAGGTGGGTCAATATTTGGGGTTCTATCCTTAGTCAATACTGAGTCACTCACCAACATTTCAGCTTTCCGCTGAATAAGAATTATTAGCTATGGTACACGGGCAGCTTTTAAAATATTCCACAGTGACTTTCTTATTCAAGCAAGTGCTGCTGTGAGCGCAGCGACTGGGCTTTGCTCCAGGGACGTGCAGTGCTGGTGCGCTGCACATGGCCCCAGCCAGGACCCTGCGTGCTCACCACCTGCGAGCCTGCACATGCCAGCGATCCCTGGCTCCCCGGCCCCAGCTCAGCCTCCTTTGCAGTCTCCAGGGCTTGGGGACACCAGAAAGGGAAATGTGCACACCTCACCCCAAAGACCACCTCGCACTCAGGACAACTTTAATGCATGAGTCCTTGTCATCCAAATTACAGAGACGATAATGATAATAATATACTAACTGTTAGAGCCAAAGGAACTGTCCTGATGGGATGACACGCCAAAGCTCCACTTCCTGTAATTACAAAAGCAACACAGCGCATGGCACGCCCGCTTGGCAGGACTGCCAGTGGCGCCTGGTGTCATGCTCATTAGCACTTGCCAAAAAGCAGCACACAGAAATAGCTCATCTGTGCAAGGCAAATATGAACAACTTCCTGCAGCACAGATACCAGGTCAAGAGCCTGATAATTACGTCTTAGATAATTAGAGCTTTTGAAATATTAGAACTGAGGATAAAGTGTCACTGAACGGTTTTAGTGGCAATCATCTCATACAGATTCCCTAAAAGGATAGGTTTTTCCCTGTGTTATCTGGTTATATCTTTAATAAAGCTACTACGTATTCAGATAATGAAAATGTAGTATTTACCAACCATGGAGTACTACTCGGCCATAAAGAAGGATGAACTTGAGTCATCCATAGGAAAACGGATGCACGTCGAGACCAGAATGTTTAGTGAAATAAAGCAGACACCTAAGCTTAAGTGCTACATGGTTCCTCTTACATGAAAATCCCAAGTCCCAAATGAAGAGCAAAATAAAAGACAGAAAATAGGAAGGAAAGAGGTGGGTCCTTGTCAAGTGGACAGGGATTAAGAGTTGGAGGGAGGGGGAGAAGTGGAGGGAGAGGGTGGGAGAAGGAATGAAGGCATGGCTGGACATCCAGCAGCTCGTACAAGGGTGGAGAACGGAAGTGTGTGCTGCAGGTCAGACCAGTGAAGGACTACGAGAGAGGCTGAGGTGGGCGAGAGGTGCCCCAGAGGCCCCTGGGACGGAGGACAGCTGCAATTCAGTGATCTAGTGTAGCTGTACCACTTCCTTCTCAAAGCCCAGCTACTTTGGGAAAATGTCAATCAATAATACAAGGGAAATAACACAACAGGCAATATTCACATAATAAAAGGAGATATTCCTGAGAATTCCCCAAACCTCATAGAAAATTGAAATCATTGAGAAAACTAATACCCAAAATGTATTAGAGGGATAGGAACATTCCTTTCAGTAAGAAAGAATGAGAACTGTTTGCCATAAATCTTAAGAAATTACTAGCTTTCCATGTATATTCTCTAAAAATTAGTAGTTCATTGACTGAAAAAGTATGCCACAACAGCTATTATAGAAATATTAAATAGGTGCTACAGAGGTTATGGCCAGAGGTTATCCCTGTGTTATCTGGTTATATCTTTAATAAAGCTACTACGTATTCAGATAATGAAAATGTAGTATTTACATTTTCATTTTACACTGAGTGTGGCAGGACTAACTAGAACAGCTGTGTGGAAAACAGTGCGAAGGTTTCTCAACATAGTAAGAACAGAATCAACATACGATACAGCTCTAACGCTCCTGGGTGTTTACCTGAAGAAAAGGGTGTCCGCACACAAGACAGACACTTGTACCCCTGTGTTTACTACGGAACTATGCTCAAACTCGACTCGCAGACAACAAAAGGAATCAGCTTAGGGGTGCATCAAGAGAGGAATGGATTAAGGAAGTATGATATAATACACATGGTGGAATATTCTACAGCAATAAAGAAGAAATAGTACATCTGCAATGATGGAACTGGAGAACACTGTGTTAAACAAGACAGGCTAGACATAGAGCGGCCAGCATCACATGTTCTCTCTTCCGTGTGGAAACAAGAAACAACAATGAAGACATGACCTCACGCAGAAGAGGCGGGAAAGAGGTGAGCGCAAAGAGGGCAGCAGGGAGGGTGGAAAGGAGCAAAGCGCCATGTACCACGGAAGGGAGCGTCCCAGGGAGACTCACAGACTTGCAGGGAGTGCGCCAACAGTTCTTTTTTCTAAAAGTAAAACTGAATGGTAGGACTCTTGAAAGGAACAGAAGCTATGGTCATTGCAGTAAACAGACAGACAAATACTGGATATTTCTGAATCGCCAATCTTACCTCCTCCCTCCAAGTTTAGCAACTCGACTGTAAAAGACTTCTCCAGCTCAGGGATAGAATTATCAGTGATGTTGACAAAAATGTATTTATATCTTTCTCCTGGTTGAAATTCTAACGTGCCAGCAGCACTCTGTAATGTAAATGAAAGATTTATTCATTTGATTATACTTATTGAGCATTTGAAATTCCAAACTGCAAGTGTTTGTGATCTATCAAATTCTATAAATACTGAAAGAGAAGAACCTAAGTGAAATATTGTACAAAATTAAAAACACTTCAGTGGATATGAATACTGTGCACTATTCAAATTACATACCCTTAAACTAAATAAAGGAGACAGATGGACTTGAATTTTATTTTCTATTCATCAAAACAGTAGGTAAGGCAAAAGAGAAATCTGAATAGGTGACATCCACAAACGCTCGAAGAATTATTTCACTACAACACAAGAAATTCTCTCAACCAAACATGTAGGACGATTAAAATTGTATAATTGAGAAATTTAAATATCCAGGGAATAATAATGATATTTTTCATTCAGAGAGTCTTGCTCCATTTGGCAGTAATATTTCCCCTACTGTGTTTTAAATTAGAATTCCTAACATAGGATTGGCTCCTCCCTCCCTCTGCTGGTGGGACCCATGTGACCATGAAGGGAAGAGTCCCAGTGATGGGCTCCACCTGCGGGCCCAGAGTCGGTGGGGAAGCCAGCAACTCAGTAGGACCCTACTGAGGGTGCACAAGATGGACAGGCGGGATAACAGTGCGAAAGGAAAGAAGAGAAAGTGTTGAGATGAGCCAGCAGGGGGTGTTAGGTGGCCAAACACTGTGTGCTTGGGGACAAAGACATGAGGAATAGATGCGAGTGAGTAGGGTTGGCCCCCCCTCCACCATCTTTTTTTCTTTTTTCTTTTCTTCCCTAAACAGTTGGGGAGAACTCCAGCCACAGAAAACGAATCCCCTCCCCCAATTCAGAGACCAAGATGAGACCCAAACGCAGCGCAAAGTCACCTGCAATCCTGGCTAGAGTAGTCATTTCTGGGATCAGACTTGGAGCTGCCATAAAACTACAGACACTAGAGGATTTCACTGCTTTATTTTTCTCTGTCTGATTGGAGTTCCCTTCTGTATCTTGTGGGATTCGTGTTTTTCTTTGTTCTTTTTCTCTCTGTTCTTTTTGTCCTGTTTTGCTTATCTATCTGTATATGTTTTCAGTGTGTGATTTTTTTTTTTTTTTTTTTTTTTTTTGTGGAACAGGGGATTGAACTCAGGCCCCTGCACTTGCCAGGAAAGCGCTTATTCCACTGAGCCATCTCCCCAGCACCCCCCCCTTTTTTTCAGTGTGTGATTGTTTTTGTTTCCTTTCTCTTCCTTTCTTCCTTCTTTTCATGATTTAGATCTCTAGCCTTTCTTTTTGTTTTATTGTACTCATCTTCTTTCCCTCTTTTCTCAATCATGTTACTTGATTTTATGATATTTTTATGAGAATAAACATTGGCTCTTCTCTTTCTGGTTCACTTCAATAATCCTTGGTTTTCTCTTCCAATTCTCTCTTGTGTCCTAATATTATGACATCCAATCTTATTCCTACTATATTTACCTTTACTTGTCTCTCCAGTATACCCTCTATCCCTCTTAAACCTCCCACACAGCTGGAAGGAATCACTCTATTAAACGGGAAATCATGCATACGAGTTCCTGGCATAGGGTAGCTGGTATTTATAAGTGCAGAACATGCTCCTACGGCTAACAAGATCAGGCTAATAGCCACCACAGGCTGTCACTACTCAGGCTGTCAGTGAATCTATCATCATTCCTAACTGCACTACTTCAACCAAGATATCATATGTCTTATAATCAGCTTTTTCTCCTCTGACAATATTGCGATTATAAGGGGTCATAACCATCACCATAGTCTAGTAGCAAAGGAATGGACCCTGAGTCCAAAAGATAGCAATTTCACATTCTTCATATATTGGCCAGGAAAGATCTTGGGCTAGACACAAAGACCAAAAACACCTTACACCTAGAAGACAACCCGAGCGACAGACATTTTTTGGAAAAGCCTCTGAAGGCTTTTCAGGGATAAAGCTATCTAAAATAATCGCATTACAGGCATCAACACAGAAAACAAAATAAACTAAAAATAGAAAATGAGCAGATGAAGAAGGAAAATGCAACCCCAAAGGCCCAACCCACCGAGCACAAGTCCAGAGCACAGAGACATGGGAAATCGAAGCCAAGCACTGGAACTCTTTGAAAAGATAGCAGAGGTAAGAAGACAAATAGAAGAGCCTACAGAAAAATAACCTATAAGGTGCAGAAAGAGATGGTGAGGAAAATGAAAGGCAGTGAAGCAGACACACAGAAAACTCAGCCTGCTGAAGTTTTTTCTTCCTTAACAAAATTATTTTAATGGCTTTAAGTCTTGATTTTCATAGAAAATTATTATTTTCAAGTGTCTCACCTTAAAAGGTTTCTTGAAATTTTTAATTTCATTTTATAATGTTTTCTATATATAGGTCTTATAAATTTTTGGGGTGAGATTTATCACTACTGTCTATTTTAATACTTTTGTAACCCATGTGCTTTATTTTCATTTATCACCATGAAATGGAAGTATAGTTACTTTTCAATAAACATTTTTAAAAACAGAGGAGCTGAGGAAAATTATGGAAACTATGAAAAACGAGAAAGGAAACAGAATCAGTGAGGAAGATCTAAACAGAAATCCAGGAGATTAAAACCTTTACTGAAAGTGTATGAAGAGAGAGGATAAATGATCAGATCGAGGAGACAAGATTGCAACCAGCAACCAGGAAAAGAAAGCTATATTAAAAATAGAAACCATGAAATATCAATCTAACAGCTACAAGATGAAACAAAGAAGATCAATATTAGATCAGTTGGAGTCAGTAAGAAAGCTGGAGACAGTACAAAAACTATTAAAAACCCCTTCACAAAAATAACGGTAGAAAACTTGCCAAACATGGATAAAGAATTTGACTTCAAATAAATGAAGCACATAGAACGCAAACAGTCATGACCACACTAAATCTACACCAAAGCATCTAGTGATCAAAATTCCAGAAATTCACCAGAAGAACAAATACTACAAGAAGCCAGAGAAAAACAACAACGCAGCTATAAAGGAAAACCCACCAGAATCACAGCAGACTTCTCAACACACATCCTAAAATCAGAGACAACTTGGGATGAGATACTTGAAGCTCTAAAAGAAGACAATCTTCAACCTAGATTGATGTACAATGCAAAATTGTTTTTCAAAAATCAATAAAGAGATAAAATACTTCCATGACAACAAGCAAAGAAATTTATGAGCATTAAAAGAGTTCTACAGAATGCTCTAAAGGATATATTAGCAAGACAAAAGGTAAGCCACAAACACAAGACACTGATAGAAGCTACCAAGAAGGGCAAGCAATTAAACAGAGGACAAAGACAGGGAACCAATAACAGGAAAACAACATGACAAAGATAAGCCAATACATATCACTTCTAATCATCAATGTAAATGATATCAACTCACCAATCAAAAGAAACAGACCAGCAGAATGGATCAGGAAAAAGACCCAAAAATACGCTGCATTCAAGAAACACTGTAACTCAAAAAGAAATTCATAGACTGAAAGCCAAAGGATGGAAAACAATTCTCCATGCCACAGCAACCCAGAGAAAAAGCAGGGGTAGTTATTCTATTTGTAGACAATGTAAACTTTAGGCCAAAACCCATCAAATGAAACTTAAAAAGTCACTACAAACGCCCTGCTTTTTGATGTTACATTCAGTGACCATGTTGCTTATCATTTAACCAAGAAAACAATTAAAATTGAAGACACGGGTCATCTCTTTGCAATCATGGGTTTGTCTGATGGATACTGGTAAAAGAATTTGAGTAAGTTATGTAAGCTAGTTATAAACTGATGTAGTCCAAATCTATGACATTAACATGAAACCTGAAACAACATAAAAGAAGCCCATAGCAAGTATAAAGTATAAGAAAAAAAGCACACGGTTGCCACTGAATTGTTAGGCTTCAATGTCACCAAGAATCTAATTTACATAAACGTAAAGGTCAAAAAGCCATCAGTGCTTGTTTCCCTGAGTAACAGAGCCCAGGGTCGGGGCGGCTCTTCCCACCCTCCACGAGATGCTCCGTGCCCACTTTACAAGCGCAAACGCACTCCTGGCGAGGCAGGCTCTGGGCGTACCTCGTAGTCCTCTGGGCTGGATGCTGTCAAGGCCACGGTTCGGAACTCCGCCGTCACCCTTCCCAGCAGGCCCTGCGCGCGCACCACCAGCAGCTGGACTTGTCCGTCCTCCTCCTGCACGGTGAGGCAAGGCTCGCTGCGGGCAGGCAGGCTCATAGCGTCCTCCAGCCCGGGAGGCGGCTCTGTGGAGAACTGCAGCAAGCCTGGGGAGGCAGGGACAGGATGCCCAGTCACCAACAGAGATCTGCTGTTTTGTTTTGAGCTGGGCTGGCTGCTGCCTGGGCTGGCCTCGAGCAGGCAGGGGCCTACAGCCCCGTGGAGGATTTCTTACTCATGTCAAGCAAGCTTGCCCGCTGTTCTAATCACCAGGCTAAAATCCCAAGGGCGTTCATGCAAAAAGGTTTTAGTGAAGATCTGCCTAACATGCTCTTGACCTGGATTACGTTCATATACTTCCACATTAGAAGTAAAAATATTAATTTTCTTTGCTTTTACCCAAAGTAAGCTTCCCCCTCCAAAGGAATATCCATGAAAGGAAAACTGCAGTTTAAAACATTTATTTTCAAGCATTTACACATATTTGCATGGTATCTCTGGAATCCCCAGGCTTTTTGTAGAACAGGATTAATGAAATTGTAAAAGATGTGTAATACATTAAGGATGATTTAACCATAAAAACCAGAATGCAGAGCTCTCAGATTTCCTACCTGGACATTTTTAACAGACGCTCTTCCTTTATTCTTTCATAAGGAATATGCTTTTCAATTTAAAAATATCTGAATTCACTCAAACAGACATCTATGATAATCTCTCAATTAAGAAAATGATCGTTCCTTGGCGTAAGACACACGTGCGCAAACGGCAGGGATCGAGTCTCCAAGAACAACACAATGTAAATTGCAAAGCACTTCAATTATGCAGAAGGTAATACGTTGGCCTAAGGCCGTAGTTTAAAGATTTTTAGTACATGTTCGTGCTATATAACAACATTCATTCCCTGTTCGCATAAGGTGATTCCTGACTGAAGGAATTCTGCTAGCCACTGGAAGAAGTACTTTTTCATTTCAAACGATCCTGCAAAAACCTTGCCAACTGTGTAAATGCAGATATTGATCTTTATATTTTCTCTCAGATGCGAAGTTCCTCAAAATGGAGGCTTAGAAGGGAGAGGGTCTCCGGCCTGCTACCATCATGCGCGAAAAGCCCCCTCTTAGGAAGTTCCCCATAAACCCGAGCGTACCCGGGAAGCACCCCCGCGGCAGGCGGCTCACCGTAGGGGTGGTCGCTGGCCTTGACGGTGATGTCTGTGGTCTCCTTCTCAGGATCGATGCTGGCGCCACTGGTGGGAGTGGAACCCAGCTTCCCGTCTCCAGGAACAGCGGAGACCAGGGTCACCCGAAAATACTCATTGAGCTCAGGGATATCATCATCAAGAACGTATATATTCAGGACCTAAAAATGGAGAAATCCACAGGCGTGAGGCGGTGAGGCATGCAGGAATTACTTACTAGAAAAAAATAAGAAGCTAACTGACTGTGTTCCGTTGAAATTACTATTTGACATGATTTTGCTACACATAATTATACACGTGCATGTACGTGTACATATATAAAGAGATGGAAAGAGAAATAAGAAAATTAATTCCCTAAACTATAATGCGGACTGCCATTAACTGCCATTTTCTGAATGTTTGTGGTCTCTAAAAATTCACTGCTAATGTTTAGTCTCAAGGTGATGACACTATAGACAGGGCTTCGGGGAGGTGACAGCGTGCTAAAGGTGGATCCCTGGGGAACAGAACAGTGTGCTGAGGAGGCGACCTGATGGAGCTTGCTCCCCAGGTCCTTCCAGGGGGACACAGCAGCGATGCCACCCCCGGAGCGCACGGCAGGCCCTCAGCACAAAGTCCTCAGGCATCTTCCTCTTGGGCTTCCCAGGAATCAGAGCAGAGGCCATACCTTTCTGTTGCACATTCACCCCCCAATCTGAGCTATTTTGTTATAGCAACCGCATAGGCTAAGGCATGAGCTGAGCAACAAGATTTTCTTGTAAAGTATCCCCTCGTGCACTGCACTGTGTCACAGATGACATACTACTGTCCTGTGTGAGGATCCTGTCACGTGTTCTGTGCCCCAAAGATGCCAGCGTTACCAACCTCAGGACAGAGCGCTCCCAGTTAAGGGACTGCATGTTATCTGGCAACACGCAGTACAGCAGCAAGAAGAAAGCAACATTCATGTGTCCTCTGCCTCTCTAAGAAAAATACGACTCACTAACAGTATTTTAGAAAGGGGATTCTATAATAGGCTTTAGAGGTCTGCTGAAGCAATTAGTCCATAAGAGTTATGAAAGGAAGCAGAAATGACTCACGGTGACACTTGATAAAATTTAAAGAGAAACAATGGTTTCTCTTTCCTTTATTAATTGAACATGTTGTATCACACAATGTCCAGGACTTCAACATGGCCCTAGTCCCTGAGAAGCTTATGATTTATTATAGAAGATATATATATATATATATATATATATATATATATATATATATATATATATATATATATATATATATATATATATATATGTATATATACATATATATGAAATTTCAAATGTTTGTCTATATATGTATAATCTATGATCTTCAGGCGTCTTCCTCTTGGACTTCCTGGGGTCAAGTAGAGGCAACACATTTCTGTTGTATATTCACCTCCTAATCTGACGTATTTTGTTATAGCAACTGAACAGACTAACATTTAAAATGCAATGTAAAAATGTCATAATAAAGTAGTGTACAAAGTACACCAAGGAAGAAGCAACCATCTCCTTGGCAAAGGTTTTAGAAGGGACAATGTGTGGAATGAGTCCTAGAGGGTTTGTCATAGAAGTGCACGAGAATGGGGAATGGTAATGCTAGCAAAACACACATGGCCATGTGTGGAAGGACCCACACAGGGCACTGCGATCAGGCCACCAAGCCCGCAGCAGAGGGAAGCATAGGAGAACCGCCAGAAGTCGGGTCACAGCATCTTCTAGGCTATCGTGAAGGATCTGCACCCCATTCCACAAAGAGTGGGGTGCAACGGCCTGGAGCACCCCAGGCAGGAGGAGGACTATATGAGAACGCTGTTTGGGGGTGAGCACCCTGGCAGCACGCAGGTGACGTGGACAGAGCAAGAGTGCCTGCAGGGGACCATCGCTCACTACAGCTGAGGGAATTCTGCACCCACAGCCAAAGACATGAAGAAAAATGAACCGATTTGAGACCCGAGTGGAGGTGGGAGATGCAGGCTGAAGAGTGAGGGATGGGAGGGAAGAAGGATGACTTCCTGATTTCTCCAAGCAAGCTGGAAACAAACTAAACCTGCACGGGGCCCCAAAATATGGGCCACCAGAGCTCAGAACACCTGGAGAGTTACTTTTTTAAAAATGTATTTGGTTGTTACTGGGTTTCACTATACAGCTCGGACTCATAGTGATCCTCCTGTTTTCAGCCTTTCCAGCCCTGAGATTACAGGCGTGCACCTCTACACCTGGTCTGTGGCCAGCTCAGTCACCCAGGGGGCAGGGCTGGCACCACATGTGGTGCTGGGGATGGACTCGTGGTCCCTGCGCCTGCCTAAGCTTGCCTAAGCAGGCGCTTTAGTCCGCTGAGCTATCTCACCAGCCCTGGAGAGTTACTCTTAAAAATGTTCCTAGAGATTTTAATTCTATCAATCTGATGAAGAATCTGAATTTAATTCTAATGTTCAATTTACTCCTACTATGATTTTAAGTCCTACATGGCATGACCAATGTCTTCATAAAATAATTAAAATGACATCTCATAGTCAAGTCATATCATTATTACTGAAATGGAGGGAAAAGACTAACAAAAATCTTATAGAAAGTAATACTTTAAATAACTATCAACTGAAATGTTAATAACAATTATTTTACTAACTAAATTTGATTTACTTTTATCTCTTCCAAACATTCCATGAATGTAAGTTATAGAACAAGGGTTCTGTTATGTTTCTAATTCATTGTAGTTTTTTCAAGTGGGAACATTAAAAATATGCCACCTATTATCACAATTATTTGATAAGAGCACTTAAAATTCAAAGACAAACAAAAAAGACGAGCACTAGGCTAAAACACACTAATGCACGCTGAGTCACGTTAGCTTCTGGAAGCTTCCTGGTGCTCTCATCTTATCAGGATCAGCAAAACCTGCACCATGGACCTACTTACAGACCGCCACTGATGGCTTTGCTACGAACTCATTCATCCCCCTTCCCCCAAACCAGTCACTCTTCCATGGTGTTAATTCTTCCAATTTTAAGAGTAAACTTTGCCTCAACTTTATTATTTTCATCTACTTCAATTGTAGGACCCTCAAAATTACCGAGATCACTTAGCATTGGGCAGATTTAAGTTCAGGTGCTGTGTAGCCCAGTAACTAGTATGCTGTTCACATTTTAATGTAAAAAAGGACTGAGGGGAATATCACAACATGGCCAACTAAAACAGTGGAGTTGTGATACAGGAGAAAAGCCACACTGACTGCACCCCAGCCAGCGGGGCCCACCATCCAGCAATGAGACCACCTTCACAGAAAGACAGTAGGAAATGAGGTCACCTATACTTCTGAAACACAGAAACAGTACCTCATTTCTCCAAAAGTAACACAAATAAAATCAAATTACTGTGACATGAACTTCTCACTGGTTAACTGTATGTTTTCTCCCTATACCAGTAGTCATAAAAAACCCATAATCATACGCCCCCAAACTGTCTCACTTGTATTATAATGGGGTGAAAGAACACATAAAACTGTAGCACTTCCAAATTTTTTTTTCTCTTGCATAAATACTAAATATTTTATACTATTGCATATACCTGAGCTTGTTGACATTTCAAATTGCTATAATGGCAAGATGCTGCAAAGAAATTAAAGAACAAACATCAAGACTGCTTTCCCAGGGGCTTTCAAAGCAACAGAGAAGGCAGGGTTCACCTCAGATCTCTGCCAAGGAAGGAAGGTGATAGAGCCGCTGACATTAGCAAAATCGTCCACGAGGTAATTAACACCTTCAGATCCGATCTGTGAGATGGTGTAAAACACACGCACGTAGTCCAGGGCGCCCCTCGTGCGCTCCACCACACAGGAAACGGTGGCTCCCTCCTCTGCGACCTGAAGGTGAACAGAAATTGATTGTAAGTACACACATACTGAAGTCAGTGATAAAATTTCAGTGCTTTCATGAAATTCTTCTGTTATTCCTAAACTTAATTCTATAACTTTCTACCTCTTGAAAAGAGAGGGGGAAGCCTCTATAAATAGAATCAAAACACACAATGGATGTTTAAAGTGTTAAAAATGTATTACAGTTAAAGACACACTGCCATTAATTCCCTCGAAAGACTATCCCTTGCTTTGAACACAATTACTCTGTCACTCTTGCCACTCTCTGAAGCAGCTCTGGAAGGCCATCCATGTGCGTATTTGGCTCTAGCTGCTCCACATCAACAGAGTCAACGCTTACCTTTTATGGTCATTTTGAATTTAAGGAAGAGCGAGGAGCCACATGGCAGGAGAGTGAGAGAATACGGGGGATAAGTACACACCATAATATCCCTTTGTTTTCTATCTTAGGGAAGGGTCTACAGGGTGTGCAGGGTCTCACTATTAATGTAGTGATCCACCTGTTTACAGCCTCCCAAAAGCTGGGATTACAGACATGCGCCACCACGCCCAGTCTCAATTAATTGCCATCTCAGCATGCCCCAGGGGCGGGCAGGGAGCAGGCGGGGATTGGACCCATCCTGTCCCTGCTTGCAGGGGCTTTAATCCGCTGAGGTATTTGGCCAGCCCAATATTCTTTTCTTTTCTTTTCTTTTTCATAATTTTATTGAGAAACAAATAGCAATTAGACAGTTTCAAACCAAATTGGTTGGGCAGTTTCAATAATTAACACATTGCATACATTCTTCCTAGTGGTTAATTGCTGTACAAGATTCGGACATGATATCTTATTTACAAACATCATTAGAACAAATCACTCTATTCATTAAGAGAATGTAACTATATATCTATCCTAACCACTTTAAATACACAGATACAAAATGGACATTCATCTGTATCCCCTTTTTTGGTTAAGTTCTGTTATTTGAATATTATACGTGTGCAAACTCAGCAAAATATTCTAAAACAGTCCAGTAGCCCATAATAGTATTGGGTCTTCCACTTCACTGGCAGTGTCAGAAATTGTTGACCTGAGTCCCCTATAGCTCAACATAACAGCATTGGCTTTACTTCTTATACTTTGTTTTTATACTTTTCTGCTGGATGGTTAAGACCAAGGTAAAGCAGGACCTATGCAACAAGAGTTGTAGCTTTTGGGTCTGATAAGGTCAGTGAAATCCCCTCAGGATTTATCCTGAGATCCTGTACCTCAGATTGTAGAGCCTTTGTCAGTGTCAGCCATGTGGATGAGTCATGGCCATTGCTTGGCCAATGTGCTCTCTGTGAAAGCCTGAGAGAATGTTTTCTCTCCATGTGACTCTCCTTAGGCACACTCTACATCATCGATCACTCTCCTCTTTGTCCCCATAATCTCCTTGACAAGAAAATTAAGTCGGTAGTGTCCTAATACTCTTATTTGACAGAAGTCACTAGAAATGTCTTCAGGTAATTCAGGCATCAGGTAGCCACAAAAACAAACATATATTTGGACTACTAATAAGTATTTACAATCATTTGAGGTTTTTTCCCCCTATTTATTTATAGGGCTAAATAAAGCAAAAAGAATTGTAATCTTTTGAAGGTATATGTAATTCATTCATTGATATTTCCTGTGTACCAGCTAGGTTTGATAGTTACAAAAGATATTTTTCAAAATAATCCATAACCTTTGCTTTGGATAAGTGCAAATTTGAAGAGAATGACAAACTTGCAAGTGAATGATGATTTTCAGCACAAACCAAATAAATAGGAATGGTGATAAGAGGGAGAGTGAAATGATGTCAGAAAAATTTTCTAGGAATGAACATCCACACCACGCAGTGTATTCCATGGAGTTGTGTGGTGGCTACAGAAAGTTCTAAGCGGAAAAACTTGGGAATGTTAACAAGGGGAAAACGTCAGATTAAAAACAGGCATTTTATGTCCTGCTTAATAGAGTCTTAAGATTTTTTCATATATACATAGAGGTCTGCAAACATGTATATATGTATTTTTTTCAAACATGGATATAATAAAAAGTATATGGAGAAAAAGTTGCAGTCTTTTAAATGGACCTTTAAACTATCAAATTCTTAGGCTCTCAACTAATTTCATTTTGATATTAGCAAGTATATAATTCAGAAAAAAGGGACTAAAACTGGACAGACAAAAATACAAATCTTAACGTACAGAATGTCACTGTTTCTTTCTAATATGAATCATGAACATCTTCAGTTCTATAGAGCCTGTTTGGTACAGACTTCAGGGCTAGAGAAAACAGATTTGAATTTTGTCTACCAACAGGTCTCATCAAAAGTTATTCTGGGGACAACCCGCTTGGGTCATCTTTCTGTTCCTCTCTAGGACAGGAATTTTCTTTCCCCCCATAAATATATTCTGCTCTTTTTTAAATAAAAGTCATCCTAAGAGATTTAATTCTCTGAGTTTCACTGAGCCCAGTACCCCTCGTGCCTCTATACTGACAGGACTGCACTGGGCAGTGCTGTGACTCCTTTACCTGGCCTCCTGGCATGACAAACCCAAAGCAAGCAGGCAGTAGTTCAGCAGCTCCCTGAGCACGCCTGCTGACAGGCCTGTCCCCTCCCGGCCCGACCCTCCCACTGCCAGAACTGGGACTTCGGTCACTGGAGTCTGAAGCACAGAAGCGGACACCAGCCATGCAGAGGGCCACAGGAGTCGTGGAGCGGGGGTCAGTCTCACTTCCACCACCTGCTCCTTGAGCCTGATTGTTGGGTTGTGGAAAGGAGATGCCAGCCCTCAATGCTCCTCCACAGCAACCCGCCCTGTAACAAGCTGGCCGAGCTGGCGATGTGCCTGGATCTAGAACAGGCCATGCAGCTGCATCTGACAAGGTGCCTCAAGCAAGCCGGTGTATGGCAAGGCCAGGGGACCCAAGACTGTGTGCTCCTTGTCAGTCCTCCTCTGCATAGTGTGAAATCTTTGAAGCCGTGCAACACAGGCTGGCAAGTTGCTAAAGTGGGCATTCTCTAAGCCTTAAGATACTGGTACTGGCAGAAGTGGCTCAATCCCATAGCTAAAGCATGTCCTAAATCCAGCAGGAATGAATTGCGGCCCCCTCTAGAAAGAAAAGTCTTCTTGGGATCAACACACTACTAAATGGGTCACTGCAAAGTGCTTGCTTTGGTCTCTGCAGCTTGCTGTTCAGAAGAGCAGCAGCAACAGTTCGCAGTTAGGCGGCGGAGCCTCATGCTGACGTCCTGGGAGCTGACAGCCTCCCAACAGGTCTCCCCTAGCACCTTCCCAAACGTTCTCGGCTCCAGTCTGGTTCTGAATCCCCCAGGCCCGGGGCAACAGGCTCCACAGCTGGGGCTACTGAGCGGTGCCTGGGCCTGGGCTTGCTCCGTGGGCCACTTCTCCCTCCACACTCGCTGCAAAGCTGAGCCGCTGTGTCTGGCTCTGCCCTCCGCCCTGAGAGACACCGAGGGGGGCGTCAGAGAGGCGGCAGCCTCCTCTGGAAAGCACCAGCATATGAAGCCCCGTCACCCAGGAGGCAGGCTTGACAGTTTCTTCTCAGGTCAGCGTTTATCACAGGGTTTGCGTGAAGATCAAGAAGTTTAGCTTTAAACACAACATTTGAAATATTAAGATATCCCTGAAGAGATACGTCCGGACGGCAGCTGGAGAAATGAGGGTAGAATTTTAGAAAGAGGATGGGACTGATAACATAAATGGAGAAGTCAGTGCATAAGTTCTGATATTTAAAGCTCTATGGAAAAGGTACATAACCTATGTAGTCATACAAGTGATACTCAAAGTTAGATACAATGAAGGCTGATGATACAACAGATGGAGAAAAAACACAAAGTACAGGCAGCTCTGCTGTAACATTTTGTACAAATAAAGCTACACAGAAGTACAAGCCCATCTCCAAGATCTCCTGGCTCCCGGTGGAAGGCGTGCTGCCCTCACAGCCGCGCTTCTCTGCTCCTAGTGTGACAGCTCGGCCTCTGCTTGGACCGCCTTCCCGCTGTTGCCTCCCAGGCTACACACACATGGAAGCACTCCCAGCGCTCACTTTTGCTGGTAAGCCTCACACCTTTCTCAAGGTAACTTGCGACACATTATATATAGCACATGAATATTAAACATTAAATAAGTATAATCTTGTTTTTTAAACTATCTTTTTAAGCATCGCTGTTTTGAGGACTGTTGCCCTTGCCCATCTCTCCCAAACCTCAGTGTTTCCCACCCCGTAACCTGGGACAGCACGGTGGCTTACAGGGACTCATGCCTGGGGCCTTGCAGAACTGACTGTGCCGTGGGTGAGATGCTGAAACCTCAGAGGTGAGAGAGAAAAGGGCGAAGCGGTAAAGGACCAGGGGCTGCGTTCAGCCGCCCACGTAGCTGCCCCCCAGGGCTGTGCGCTGGCTTTCCTCCTGCAGGATGGTAGCTGAGCAAACACAGGCACACAGAGTGTGGAGCTCAGAGTCCTGCCACCACGCAGCAAGCGCTCTCAGCCTCTTCTCCTTCCAGGATGACCCTGAGCTCTCACGGGTTTGGATACAGATTAAACAAGTGGCACACGTGCACCCAGTGACATAGTAGGTGCTAAAATTAGCAGTATTTCTTCTTAAAGTAGACACATACATGTAGTAAAATTTCTACATAAAAGTATTTTCTCACTTTATAAAGAAATATATATATATGCAAAATCAAATTGATATATATATATATATATGCACAGATTCCTATGTTTCTCAACTCATAACAATAAGGGTGGATTTGCTCCATTTTTGCACTACAAATTTTAATGAAAATGAACATTTCCCACTAGTTAAGTAAACCATTAATCTAAATAATTAGATATTCAACCCCTTCCTTTCCAGCAAGAAGCGTGGACCCAGCAGTGCACTCAGGAATGTGCAATGGCCTCCTACAGACTTATATTTTTACCAAAATGGAGTATCAGGAACTAAGAATTTTTGTGT